TCATCTCTGAAGTCATTTTCCAAATTGACGACTTTGTAAATAATACAAAGGGGTGAGAAAAAAACAGTCCCTGCTGAGTTTCTTGCCGGTTCTTCTCAGTACAAGGTCACTTGCCGTAGATTTACGAACCGATGGCGTAGCTCCTAGAGATTCATCAGTGCTTGTAATAGCCTAAACTGATTAAATGATTTTGATTATAATTATGAAAATAAGCGGCGAGCAAGTCACTCTATTGATCGGAAAAAATCTGAAATTGCTGTGCGACATTCAACCTTAGGTAGGTCTGAAATTAAAGCATGTGACTATACATTATAGCAAAATTATTTTATTCCCGTTGGTTCCTGAAGCGAGTTAATCTACCAGAGCATCAGAGAAATATAGGTATATAGGTGAGGTGGTAATTGCGGCACGTGTCAGCCACGCAAGCTGGGAAGCCAGATATTATATAACTATTACTCCTTTCGCGAACCCTTTCATTACACAGTTAAGTAAGTGAGTAGATTCCAATTCCGCTGAACGTAGACGTACGTTAATGTATTCATTAGAATGTATTGATATTTTTTTCTACGCCCGATGTCTCTCAATGACCGAATGGAGGTTTAAAATTTTCAATTCATACTATACAACCGGCTCATCAAGCTCTTAACGACTGAAAACAACCTGACGTTTCTCTTGTGATGCGGATGGACGATTTAAATCTTTATTGGCCCCACCGTAACAACATCCGTATTCTGGCAAGGACTGTGTTACAGACGAAATCGGATAAATTAAGATCTCTATATAATTAAAAAAGAGAAGACTTACTAAATTTGGGTAATATTACGTTAATATGCAGATAGAACCCAGCGACGAACTTAACATGACAAATAAAACCATAGTAAAATCTCTTATCTGTTAGACAAGTCCGTCCGTCCGTCCGTGGTGCTGTTTCAGCGGCCAAACCGTAAGAGATAGATATAGAGAATGTTTAAGTTATAAGTTAAGAATAGTCTGATAAGACTACAAACCGGATGTGAGTAACGTAGCACTTCCGGTTTTCGAGAAATCACGTGATTTCTATTTCAAACGAAACCACACAAAATCTCCGAAGTTCTCAATTAATTAAATACATTTTTTTTTTTTGGTGAACATTTGGTTCACTGGTTTGCTAGTATAAGATAATTGTCCGTTTTGCATTAATAAACTTAGTTATATTAAAAAGGCAAATCTGTGGCATCGGTAAATTGAACGGGGTTCAAATTTTATATTTATTTCAATATACTACTGTACTTCCATTTAATATAGGTATCCTTAAATTATAAAATAGGCTACAGGCAATATTTTGTCTAAAAGATGATATTATGAAAAAGTTTATTTATTTTTCAAAGATTAAACAGCAATTTTATTATTATAATAATTCCAGAAATCCCACAAGTTATTTAGTTCCAGACTAAACAGCGTGTACATACTAAATAATGTAAGAAGACATTCGAGTGATTGAATAATTCGAGTTCCACCACCAGCACCGTGACCACAGCCGTGACAAGGGTCGGCGACGGAACATGAACATTCTAAAGCGATCTAGACACGGGATCCGAGGGACATTTTATTAATACACCCGGACTCGGAGAAGTCAATTAACTTTTAAGTTTTACTCAAACTGATGCTGACACTTTCTTTGCAACAATAGAATGGGGCAACGCGTGATTTAATGGAGCTGTAAATTAATTTGATTCTCCGAAGTACGGCTGTAAGTGTTGTATTGTTCAAATTAGGCTTGCTCTGTAAATTTATTTATCAAATACATATTATTAATACGTAAATGTTTCAAAGCGCTTTTTGAAGACATTATCACGTTCGTGAAGAAGTGTGAAATTTTGCAGAATAAAAGTTTTGGGCTGCCGTTTCTCGGGTTGCGACCTTTTGCAAAGTAAGTGAAACCATAAAAAGTTCCAAACTATAATACAAAGACTATGAGCAAGTACAATACTACTATTATTTATTCAAATAAACTTCTTAGAACAACCGTCATTAAACATCGCAAAGTCAAAGGTCGAATCTAGGTTATATCATTATCATAATATAATAATAAAACTAAGTTGAAAAAATGTGCGTGCCGATAAAACTTAAAAAGGAGTCCCGGCTCGATAAAGGGACTTATATAGTGTGATAGCCCTTTATCCCCCCCTCGAACAAGAAAGTTCCCGTTTTAACCTAAAGGGCGTGTTTTTAAAGATATAAAGGTTTTTACAACCCTTCAACTTGGAAATTAAGTGTAGTGGCGCCATCGGTTGTCGAGTACTTAAACTTGGAAATTAAGTGTAGTGGCGCCATCTGTTGTCGATTATTTGAACTTCAAGAAGGTGTGCGAAAGTAGAATACAATCTTTTAAATTGAAATGGCAATTCAGAAAAGATCAGCGGTATTCTACTTTCGCACACCTTCTTGAAGTTCAAATAATCGACAACAGATGGCGCCACTACACTTAATTTCCAAGTTCAAATACCTCGACAACCGATGGCGCCACTACACTTAATTTCCAAGTTGAAGGGTTGTAAAAACCCTTATATCTTTAAAAACACGCCCTTTAGGTTAAAACGGGAACTTTCTTGTTCGAGGGGGGGATAAAGGGCTATCACACTATATAAGTCCCTTTATCGTGCCGGGACTCCTTTTTAAGTTTTATCGGCACGCACATTTTTTTTAACTTAATTTTATTATATTATGATAATGATATAACCTAGATTCGACCTTTGACTTTGCGATGTCTAATGACGGTTGTTCTAAGAAGTTTGAATAAATAATAGTAGTATTGTACTTGCTCATAGTCTTTGTATTATAGTTTGGAACTTTTTATGGTTTCACTTACTTTGCAAAAGGTCGCAATCCGAGAAACGGCAGCCCAAAATGTACTTTTAACAGTCAACCAAGTTGAACCTTTGCCAATAACATGTGAGAAAATTGGATATTCTTGTGGCTATTTATGTTGTAATTCGCCAATATATAAAGAATTGCCTTGTCATACTTGTCAAGAGAAAGATTTCTAATAAGCTTAAGAAAATAATCTCAAATATGACAAATATAACAGAAATCTTTGTTTGCAGAGCTTATAATTTTTATCGTTTATTAAGACAATCATACAGAAATCTTTCTTTGCTGAGCTCATTATCTCTATCTGTTATAAAAACAATAAAATTATATGTCAAAACCTGTGTTTCAATATTCGATCATCTGATATGTGTACAGAATTCACTACATCAAACTTATTTTCGGTTCGGTTCGCTTAAGATTGTATTCTCTCTCGGTGGTCAGCTGTAAGCTCATTAGCACGCGACAACCTGTGTTTCTATGCCTAGAAAATACCCGTTTACTCATGCTGTGGCTTAATTAATACTCTAATGATAGTAAACATCATAATATCTGCCCACACTCAGTGTTCAGAATTAAATTTTTATTTCAGAATTAATTAATAGTTTGAATACGTATAGGCCGAAATTAGACATTTATAACTATTATTCTTTTGTAGTGTCAGAGGTATGGTAGTATATTTCTAATGCATTATTATAATATGACAATATAAACTATCTATATTCCTCGAAATAAACTTTTATTCTGCAAAATTTCACACTTCTTCACGAACGTGAAAATGTCTTCAAAAAGCGCTTTGAAACATTTATGTATTAATAATATGTATATGATAAATAAATTTACAGAAGAAGCCTAATTTGAACAATACAACACTTACAGCCGTACTTCGGAGAATCAAATTAATTTACAACTCCATTAAATCACGCGTTGCCCCATTCTATTGTTGCAAAGAAAGTGTCAGCATCAGTTTGAGTAAAACTTAAAAGTTAATTGACTTCTCCGAATCCGGGTGTATTAATAAAATGTCCCTCGGAACCCGTGTCTAGATCGCTTTAGAATGTTCATGTTCCGTCGCCGACCCTTGTCACGGCTGTGGTCACGGTGCTGGTGGTGGAACTCGAATTATTCAATCACTCGAATGTCTTCTTACATTATTTAGTATGTACACGCTGTTTAGTCTGGAACTAAATAACTTGTGGGATTTCTGGAATTATTATAATAATAAAATTGCTGTTTAATCTTTGAAAAATAAATAAACTTTTTCATAATATCATCTTTTAGACAATATTTTGCCTGTAGCCTATTTTATAATTTAAGGATCATCATCATCATCAGCCTATTGATGTCCCCACTGCTGGGGCACAGGCCTTCCCTATGGATGGAATAGGGAGAATGGGCCATGACCCACCACGCGGGCGCAGTGCGAATTTAAGGATACCTATATTAAATGGAAGTACAGTAGTATATTGAAATAAATATAAAATTTGAACCCCGTTCAATTTACCGTTGCCACAGATTTGCCTTTTTAATATAACTAAGTTTATTAATGCAAAACGGACAATTATCTTATATTTTACTATGGTTTTATTTGTCATGTTAAGTTCTTCGCTGGGTTCTATCTGCATATTAACGTAATATCACTCAAATTTAGTAAGTCTTCTCTTTTTTAATTATATAGAGATCTTAATTTATCCAATTTCGTCTGTAACACAGTCCTTGCCAGAATACGGTGTATAGGTAAGTACCTATACACCGTGTTCCTGAGGTTATACACTAACTTTGGCAGTTATTCAGACTATTAAATTGATAATTTTTTACTATGAACACTTTTATGAATTCCAATTTCTTTAACATTTTTTATTTTCATACAAACTAAATGCTTAGATATAATTTATCTTATATGAATAACTATTTACCTGAGCTGGCAACGTCGCATTTGAAACTTTTGTTCACATGTCCACATAAACCGTTTTAAAACTTTTCTTGACGTCAACAATGTTTTTTTTTAATCTTGACTTTTGAAACTATGACTTAATGACTATTGACAAAGAGTTGATAGTTTGATAGTTTTGGTTGCACAAAGTGGCAACATCTCACAGATGAGGACTCTTTCTCACTGCACAATACAATGAAGTTGGTTAAACTTAAATTACCAATAACTTAAAAGCTATGCTATTTAAACTACTACTTTCTTTGTACGATATGTTTAGCTATAGAAGTATTATTCAAAGTTAATGTATATCCTCAGGAACACGGTGTAATACCCCGGACAATAAAATAAAAATGATGTTTATAAACAAGTAGTGTAAATAATGAGAAAATGTTTTCAATATTTTTTTTTTTACTTTTTACGTCATATTTTATTTTTTTGTTTCTAGTACCTCGTAATCTCATATCAACTCCTGAGCGAAGCCGGGTATCATAGCTATTTGAAAATAAAAATAGATTCTGCAGCGCAAGGTGCTGTTTTATTTGGTACGTAGTTATTTTACTATGGTAGATAGACTGGCGAAAGTTAATAAGATCGGAACAGTTTCCCATAATCTTGCGTTAATCTGCGAGATACGGTCAAAATGCCGCCTCTTGGGGAACACGGCTTATCGGAATTGTGAGTTCTTTCTTGGCGCTTAGGGACTTAAGCATTAGCTAAAGGAACGAGGCCACGAAACTTGATGAAATAGTAATAATTAAAAAGAAAATATTCTATTTCCACAGTAGATATAAATGAGTTTTGCGGTTATTAGTTTACGTATTTAATTTGCGTATAGGAAAAATCTCCATCTATATGAAAACAAACTTTTGATAGCGGTTTTGTAAATAAATAATTATAAATATTGTCGTAAGTAAAGGTTTAAATATTTTAGTAAAAAAAATAGTTTGCGAAAGCGTGCAATAATAGTCTACGGAACGATTCTGTCCAATGAAAAGAAATGGCATTTCCTAGCTTTTTTTCCGTCAGGCAACTGCAATATATATGTTTGTTTCATGTTAAATTGAATTTTGAATTGAATGATTTTTAATTAATTGGATGATGTATAGGTATTCTGGTCTAACGTAGATAATAATATGAGACGCCAACATATTTATTTAAAAACATCACCTTACTTATGCCATTAAAATTGCGAATTTAAATGTCTTATGCCATAAGAAGCATCATGTAAAATATATTCCGCTTACAGTCTCAACGTAAAGCAAAATTAATGAATAGGAATTTCGTTAATTAAACACTTATACGATTCCAAATATTAATTAAGCAGAATTATTTAGGGTATGTTATTAATCTCAGAGAGAAAAAACACCATTTGGTAAAATATCTTTTATTAAAATAATTGAAATATAAAAACAAGATGTCGTCGGTACTGAGCTTACGATGGCGTCGTACACTCAACAAGTGGGTAAATTTCAAAACAAGTACTATACGAATTTGCATTTCATGGTAAGTTTAGTAAACATTTGGTTGTTACATAAAGAGCGCGCTAACAACAGTGGCCCGATAAGGATTCGGCCCAACCAATCATAATTATTCCTTTCAATTAGCTTACTTGCACATTTACGCCTACAAAACATTTCAATATCATGCTGTCAACGATAAAAACACTAGTAGCCACACACTATTGACATTGCGCGCAGCTCTGATACCAATTCCCTTAATAGCTATTCTATTTCCAACATAAACTTATCTTTCCTAAAGTAAACTACAAATTTACTTTTGAACAACATTTTCACTAATAATACGCTTGGGTCGTTAGTCCAGAGTCACTTCAAGTAAAACAGAACTGCTGGAAGAAATCTTACTTCGATTTTGCTTTTTAAAGAATTACAAAAGGTATGTCGAAGGAACTCTGCCACGACTCCCGACGGCTCAAGGCACACAGCAGTGTTAGAATTTGCCATGCTATTATATTATAAAACATCTCCGATACAATATCAGATGTCTTGTTTACCAATTGCACAGTAACAACAACACCGGACATCGATTATTACAAATCAACAATCAAATAACAATAATTCCGATGAGAATTTTTTCTATAAATAAACTTAACAAATCGCCTTCCATCGAAGGAGTACTGGTATAGTTTTGAAATGGTGACGATAATGCCATTAAACAAAGCCTTCCTAAGAATGCCGGATTTGTAATGACGTATCGATAACATTGAATGGTTGCATCTTAAAGCGATATCTAGCAGTGTGATGCGTCGGTACACAAATGCTTTTTACATAGGGTGCATTGGGGTCTTATCACAGCTATACGGGAGAAGATTTCAGACGCAGACAACTCCTTGCTCAGCTTACTGCACATAGAGTATGACACGGTCTTCTTTGAGAAGTCCTTGGCGGGGACGCAGGTCCTGGCACGCACCGGCCCGATGTCCTGACCGGTTTCAACTGAATAAATAAGCACAGTTCGTGAAAATACTGCTTTTGTATGCTGGCAGTTTTTCTCAAGTTTATGGGAAAGTTTCCACGACCAAATGATCCAAAAACAATATCCAAATTACTTTAAAAATCTTCTTTTATCATGAGAAAATATTATGGTAATTCATCAAACAAAAAAACTTGCTATCGAAGTAATCCTCATACTATTTTTTCTTTACAGTTAAAGAAACGTAAAGCGTTAATCAAATTCAAACATTTTAGTATACAAAACATACAGGTAGGAACGGAAAACTATAAACGCGCTGTATCGCAAATTCTGCTTACTTATTCACGGGCGGCGCGGTCCAGTGCAACTTCGTATCGTAGAAAGTTTATCCGACACCTCGCCCCATGAGTACAAGCCCAGTAAATAGTGTTTATGCCCGCGCTCGAAGCAAATGGTATTTTTATCGCCCATTTCCAATGGAAAGCAACAATTCGTCATACCCAAATTTATAACACTGTTGTGTTGTTAATAACAAGAAAACCTGAGATTTGCAGTGAAATTGCATGATGGAGACCCAGTTGTTTTTTTTTTCCATTTATTTGATAATACAAAATACAATAAGTTAAAAAGTATCAAGAAAACCCACATTGGGTTTGTCCGGATACTGAGTCACTTAAGCCGTCAATACATAGTTTTGATATTCTTAAATTATACTTTGTTAAATATTGGGTAGTTGGCCTAAACGCGTGAGTAAGCAACACGAGCAACTCACCTAATTTTGCTGACTCTGATGTGATGACGATACACAGGAACGCCATACCGGGTATATAGCAATCGATGTTGGGCACCTGGAATTCAATTAGGTTGCGTTTTACATACTGCAGCTCAGTTATGCTTCGTGGAATTATTACCTATGATCGAGAATTGCACCGTTAATTAAAATTACCTAATAGAAACAACATATTGCTGTGAACGCATTAAAAAAAAAATTATAACTTATTTTCGACTGAATCGAATAAGGTGTTGCCAAAGGATTTCTGTAAGATGCTTTGATTCCAACTATGAACAAAAATAAAAAGTCCGTATATTTAACTTGTATGATATTATGTTTTTTTTTTAAACTTTATTGCCACAATTATAAAATGGACAAAAGGCGGACTTAACGCTAAAAGCATGCTCTGCCGCTTTAGTAATAAAGTATTATGTTCGTGTGGCGAAGAAATTTCTGGCAGAACTTCGCAACGGCCATTTTTTTATTTAAGCCATTATTTAACTTGCAGAATTATCATCGTATAAGTTATGTCTTTTACTAAGAAAGAATCTGATTATTAAGAATCCGTATGAAACTGGAAAACTAATCGAGTGATTTTAATAGAACCTTTTGGTGAAGTAAAAGCGCTGATTGTCTTACTGACCGTGACATTGGCGTAGTCTGGATGATCAGGGTCCCAGCAGCCGGGGTGGTCGAACGACAAGCAGTTGTAGCACTGGATACCCTTCGTAGTAGGCGATACAAACTTCTTAGGCTTAGCCTTTTTGTGCTTGCCTGCTGAATATATTAGTGATACACCCCGGCAAACTTCTTGAGCAATGACCATAGACAAGGAAGCTTGCGCAGTAGCAATTTTACATTTAAAAACGTCTACGCGCAAGTTATTTGCCTGTGGTTTTGCTCAAGAAGTTGGCCGCTACATATACAAATACAACGTTGTTCCAACATTTTTTTCCTAATATCAACGCACTCTGGCAAACAACAAGGCTCTTTTTATTTTGTTTATCAACGTAGTATTTAGGAAATTTATTAGCTATTAACGGCCGCCCGTGACTTCGTCCGTGCTTTAGTTTAGTGGGAATTCCACAGGAAACTAACATTGAATAAAAAGTATCCTATGTCTCAGTCCAAGTGTGTGGCAAATTCCATCCAAATTCGTTCAGCCGTTTTTACATGATTGATTAACAAACATACTTAACTTTCACATTTATAATATTAGTAGGATATTTTAATTTAAAATCTGCATCTTGTTTGTTGCAGATTTTGTAGAGTATTAGTTTTGGAAGTATTTTATAAATCATAGTCGTCCCTTTTTTGCAGGTATATCAGAATTTGTGTACATCAGATTTAGTTTACAAATTTTACCTTTTCTACATTAGTATGAAATTTAAATTGTTTTGATTACAGAGACTATTACGAGTATGAACTGAATATATATGGAAAGGTTGTTTTTCTAATTTCAGTTCAGCCGTGTTTACTATTTACCATTGGAACGTGCCGCGCTCAGGAGGGCCAACATTGTGGCAGCCACCGTCCTGTGTATTTTACAAAAGCTTCCTTATTTACATAACTGATGGTTTTCAAATAAATCGATCGGTATTACCAATCAATTTAAGGTTCATTTATAATGAGAATAAAACTAGATATTTGCATCAAAGAATACCTGAAACTGTATCTCTATATGCCCATCTTCAATTACATTACCTATAGCACAACTTATTGTATCAAAGGCTCTTAAGCTATTTAGGGCTCAACCTTTAAGAATTGCAATTTGAACATTAAGTAATAGCATTTGTAAGCCAGTTTTTTCCCCAAACTCTGCCTTATTTTATTGAAATATAGTTTTATATATCGAAAATTATTAAAACAAGTATTTTGCCATTTAAATAAGAAACATTTCCACAACTTATGCTTTGTAACTTCTCTTTAATGGTAAGGTAATAATTACAATTATTCAATTAGCGAAACTCACCGGAGACTATGACGGACAGTAGGAGGAAGAATACAACGGAGCTCTTGAGACCGATCATAATGCTTACAGATGACACAAAAGAGTGATGTGATACGATTAAGATCCGAGGCTCGACTGACGCTGAGGAGCACCAGGCGGACCGTTTATACCCGCTGAATGAGTGACGCCAGCGCATACGCATCGCCACAGGGTGTTTGCTGCTGAAATACATAACACCTCCAAACGTTTCGATTGCGTTTCATTTCGCATTGCATTTCAGCCGTTATTGTACAAAAATATATTTACAATAACATTCCGATTTCCAATGGGAAAGAAATATGTTTCACTCAATTTATTATACCTCTTGTGTCGGTTCAGTTTTTTGTTATCTGTAGGACCAAATCATAATACACGCGAGACTGTGTGAAATAAGTAAGAATTGTTTTAATTCTTATCAAATTTCATATTCAAACGTTCAGCATGTAAGTATAAAAAATATGTACCTGTAATGAGAAATCGAATCTTCTGGTCTATTGTATACATAATGAAATCACAGGCTTTGTTGTTTCTTAAGGGACACATTGTTAATTTAAACATCCCTTTATTATGAGAATTCTTGACATTCTTATGTAAATGTGAGTTTTCAAAGTTACCTAATGTTTCCATATGTGAACAATCGTTATTGAACGCAACATTAGATAATCCGCCATTGTGTTTATGATGGTTAAAAGTTACCCGTAGTAGGTTCACCATTTGTCACTAAACCGCACGGCAAGAAGGTAAATAATTAAAACCGTCGACAAAGCGTTTGCTTTTTAAGACATCATTTACTTATCATTTAAAGTTAAGTGGCTTTCAATGTATTTTATGTAAAACAGTTGTGACTTTCTTTTAATAAATAAAAGCAGTTGATTTACCGCTCTCATTAACTATCTCTCAGTTTAGAACATCACAAATTAAGCTTTTATTTCCTATTATTGACATTAATTATCTAAACTCGGACAGCTTTTCTCTTATAAGTTTATTTACTTGAGAAGTAAAGTGTGCATTGCATATCATAGTCACGCAACATTTATCTTTTTGTACCTAGATGTAAATACAGTTCAGAAAAATCTGGCAGGAATAGAAACTAATATTTAGTTCCGATGGGCTTACCCTTATAAAATAATTAAAATCCTTTTATGTCAGTGAGCTGTTGTATATTTAGTTGTTTTTCTCACAAAATAAGTAACATCATCATGTACATCATGCAGTTTACAACGAATAGTTGTGACTTATTTGCATTGTTTTTGTTGATGGTGAGTACGCGTACACTATGCCGCGACCAAAGTGTTTACAATATTGTTGTTATTTGTTTTGACAACTATGTCAATACACTGCCGCGTTAGCCACTGCGTTGTTCTCTTACAGTCTTAGGGCACCGGCAGGCTACTGAAAAGTTTTTAAACCTCACTTACATTCAAGTCGCTTCCCTTAAGATAAAATGAAATGAAAAGTCATTTATTCAGTCTAGGCTGTTACAAGCACTTGTGAAGGTCAAGAAGCTACGCCATCGGTTCGCAAAACTACGGCGGGAGACCTTGTACTGAGAAGAACCGGCAAGAAACTCAGCAAAGGCTGTTTTTTTCTCCCTGTATTGTTATATACAGTGTCATCAAGTTGAAAAATGACTTCAGAAATACGTCAGAAGACATTCCATTACATCATTTAGAATATAAATATATAGTTACAATTAATTTTATAGTAAACATTATATTTAGTATATAGGAAGCGGCATTAGATAGGTACAATATTACTGTTATGAAAAATGACCAATACCCATTTAATAACAAATTATAAGAAACACTATGTCCATGCATTACGATTATTTAGATAATCATCAACTTTATAATAGCCCTTATTCATAAGAGTATTTTTGATCTGAGATTTAAATTTAGTCAGTGGAAGCTCAATCAGATCTAGGGGAACTTTATTAAACAATGCAATACTACAACCCAGAAATGAACCTCTTGATTTTTGGAGTCTGAAACATGGAACGGCAAGCTTGTTCTTAAATCTCGTGTTAAAGTTATGGGTTTGACTTTTTTTTGCAAATTCATCATAGTTTTTTCTTACATATATTAAATTTTCATAAATGTCTTGCGACGCCATTGTTAAAATATTAATTTCTTTAAATTTTTCTCTAAGGGATTCTCTTGCCTTTAAATTGTATATGGCGCGAACAGCTCTCTTTTGCAGTATGAAAATACTTTCGATATTAGCGGCTGAGCGCCACAACAAAATGCCATATGACATAACACTATGAAAGTAACCAAAGTAAACTAATCTTGCCGTTTCCACATCAGTTAAGAGTCTTATTTTTTTAACAGCGAAAGCTGCAGAGCTCGCCTTGTCAAGTAGAACAAGGCATCAATATGAGGATCCCATTGCAGACGAGAGTCTAAAGTAATACCCAGAAACTTTGTAGAATCCACTAACTCTACAGGCTGGTCATTTATTTTTATACTAGTATTAACCTGCCTCACATTAGGTAGAGTAAACTTAACGCATTTTGTTTTACTGGAGTTAAGTTTTAAATTATTTACCGTAAACCAGTGAAGGATTTCGAGAAAGCACAATTTACTACTTCGTCATAACAATCATTTCTTCTTCTAGCTTTAAACAATAAAGAGGTGTCATCACCAAATAGTACTGTCTCACACAAATCTCTTGTAAAGTGAGGAAGGTCATTGATATAAATAAGGAAAAGCAATGGGCCCAATATTGAACCCTGGGGCACGCCCATAGAAATGGGTGCTCTTGTAGACTCAGCTTCATTTATAACTACTTTCTGAATCCTAGCAGAAAGATAAGACTGTATCAGACTTAGTGAAATATTTGATACACCATATACTTCATTTTATTTAACAATGTTTCATGGCTAACGCAGTCAAACGCCTTTGATAAGTCGCAAAAAATGCCAATAGCATCGTGCTTACTCTCCCATATATCAAAGATGTGTTTGAGAAGTGCAGTTCCAGCATCAGTAGTACTTTTGCCTCTAGTGAAACCAAACTGTTTTAAATGAAATAGCTTATTTATAGAAAAGTGTGCTAGTAATTGGTTATAAATTATTTTCTCAAATACTTTACTTAGCGCTGGTAATACAGATATAGGCTTAAAATTGCTGGGATCTGATTTGTCACCAGCTTTAAACAGAGGGATAACTTTAGCACATTTCATTAGATCTGGAAACACTCCCTCATATACATTTGTTAAATATAATGGCCAGTTGTGGCGCAATGACAGTGATAATCGGTTTTATTATATACTTATATAAATTTTATTATTTTTAAAGCATGTAACTGCTTGATGTTTAAATCTAAAGAAAATATAACTAGAAAAAATTCCACGCGGACCAGGCAGCAGACGGGACTCGAACCCGCACCCTTCGCAATCCGGGCGAATGCACTGACCAATTATGCTACCGCGGCCCTCACGGACCGCGTCGAAATTCTTCTAGCCATTCTTAAGCTGCAAGGCAGCGCCATCTCTTCGCATTATAGGTAACCCACAATGTCAAATGAATACTTTTACAAGTATTAAACATTTGAAAGAAGAAATAGCAATTATAGTTATAAATTTCATTATTTTTAAAGCATGTAACTGCTTGATGTTTAAATCTAAAGAAAATATAACTAGAAAAAATTCCACGCGGACCAGGCAGCAGACGGGACTCGAACCCGCACCCTTCGCAATCCGGGCGAATGCACTGACCAATTATGCTACTGCGGCCCTCACGGACCGCGTCGAAATTCTTCTAGCCATTCTTAAGCTGCAAGGCAGCGCCATCTCTTCGCATTATAGGTAACCCACAATGTCAAATGAATACTTTTACAAGTATTAAACATTTGAAAGAAGAAATAGCAATTATAGTTATAAATTTTATTATTTTTAAAGCATGTAACTGCTTGATGTTTAAATCTAAAGAAAATATAACTAGAAAAAATTCCACGCGGACCAGGCAGCAGACGGGACTCGAACCCGCACCCTTCGCAATCCGGGCGAATGCACTGACCAATTATGCTACCGCGGCCCTCACGGACCGCGTCGAAATTCTTCTAGCCATTCTTAAGCTGCAAGGCAGCGCCATCTCTTCGCATTTGACATTGTGGGTTACCTATAATTGCATTATCGCCCGGATTGCGAAGGGTGCGGGTTCGAGTCCCGTCTGCTGCCTGGTCCGCGTGGAATTTTTTCTAGTTATATTTTCTTTAGATTTAAACATCAAGCAGTTACATGCTTTAAAAATAATAAAATTTATAACTATAATTGCTATTTCTTCTTTCAAATGTTTAATACTTGTAAAAGTATTCATTTGACATTGTGGGATCATTGTTGTTATTGTTTATTTAAAACCTGAAATGAGTTAGAAAATGTGAGTTTGGTACTAATAGTCCAGTCAAATAAGACTTTGAAGTTTACACAAAATTCCCATAGAGCTAAAAGTTGCTATGAATGTTCAGAATACTATTATAAATGAATTGTGAAAAGTCCCCATCAATCCCCCTTGGGCAAAATTTTTCATTGATAATGAAAGTTTACAAAAATAGGTTTTTCGCGTTTTTTCAGTTTCGTTTAAACGGTGAGTTTCAGCAAAAATAGTTCAGACAAAAATTGTAGATCATCCGATTCTCTACAAAAAATGTATCCACATGTTTTTTCATAAGTATTGCCATTTCCGTGATATAGCGATTGCAAGAATTGAAACAAAAAATTTTTTTCTATAAAAATATTAATATATAGAAATATTCTTCATCTTCTTTTTCTTCATTTTCCTGCTGGATACAAATATGTTCTAAAAGTGATGCATCATATGTCTCATCACTGATATCGTAATTATCCTCATCTAGCTAGTATCGATTCAACATTGGAGCACGACTGTCCTTGACAATTGGTACATGCTAAAGAACAAAACAGTCCAACCTTTTTACAGCCGCATTTAGCAGCCTTTTTTGCATGGGAATGGAATGGGAATTTTTGTAACCTTACTTCTATTATAAGGACTTATTTGACTGGACTATAAAGAAATATTGCGGTAAATAAATTAAGGCAATTAATAAAAAATGCTTGCTACTATTATTATTTCTACGAATAGTCTCTTCCTCTCTGTCATCGTGTAAAAGTAATATAAAAATAGAACCTAAAAAAACTACTCGTTATTTTGACGGTAAAACTTTTAATAAGTAGTGCATATGACTACATACGAGGGTGTATCATCAGCAAGTTATTCATTCTAAAATACTTTGCTCGCCATCCAGACGCCAATATCCTAATAGACACAGTCCTGCTTGAGATCCGAAGAGAAGTCTTCCTTTACCTATCTGCTTACCAGACGAAAATTATGTTTGATCAAGTATTTTTTTATAAAGAAAAGAAATCGCTATATCTATAAATTATTTATAAAATAATAAAAGTTTCACTTTTAAAACTGGAATGGGTGAAAGATCTTGAATTTGATCGGATCTTGTACTTTTACAAAATTAGTTTAAATTAAGCATTAAAACACACATCTTTTGACATTGTGTCTAGCCTACATACATACAGTAAATACAAACTGACTGTATCTACGGTTAGTTTGGTAGTTTCAATGAAGTTCCTGTTATGTACATGTAGCCGAAAAAATACGTTTTATTTTAAATTATACATTTAAAATAAAACGTATTTTTTTGATTCGTCGGTTGCCTTTCAGATAATGATGGTGATATGCTAAACAAGCACGGGACCCTCTCCTACTCTTTTAAATTAAACGACTAAGGTCCACTTGCAGCAAATTTGTTTAATATCGATTCAACTAAAATTAGCTTTAACCCATAGAGGAATGTCAAAACGTCAATGCGAATTTGACATTAATGTATGGGCTTAATCTAGTTTTAGTTAAATTGAGATAAGATAAGACACTATTGTGACTAAAATTACAAATAGACAAGAGGTAAAGATCAAATCTTTTTTTATATTTGAAACTTTTTTGTATAGATTTCGCTTCGCTCTGCTAAAAGGGGACAGCCTTATCTATATGAAACTTTTTACTAGAACACCCAACTTTGGTATCTTTTGAAAGAGATATTTATCTTTTATGACTCAAGTTTCATAACAGTTTTCATGATCATGAATATCTTTTTATTTGTAAAATATAGTATATAGTAGGTAGTATTTGCCAAAATATGACGTCATTTAAAAATATTACACAGTGGACTTTCTTGGTACTAGAACTACTGATTTATGTCCTAATACCACTACTACCTACACTATACATTTAGATTAAAATAGTTTCTTATTTTGTGAATGTATCCATATTTATATATATATGATCCTTGTTCCAGCGTCAGTGCTGCATTGATAAGTGTAACTAAAACGTACAAGCTTGAAATCAACCTGTGACTTAACTAGGTGCGATGTTATGCGAAACTACGTGAAATTCTAATGAATGAGATGCCGTTAATTAAATCACAAGCTTGTAGCAAAACCGTAGCAAAACTTTGCCATTTAGTAGTTTGAACACCTCGAAACTGTTTTCCGAAAACGGGGTAGCGTGAAGCTGCAGTTACTTGTTTGCGACAATGCTTTATTACATCCTGGAAAATTGTTATGTGCAGTTTTCGTCATGCTGAATAGATTTTGTGATACTAATATGAATTCCCTTAGGGTGCGCCGGGACATTGTGTGCTGAATACAGCTAACTAAAATAAAATTCTTATTTGTATACAATAAGAAATATTGTGTTATCTGTACTTTCAAAACTCAATAGTTACTTAAATTAAAATCCTATAAAACGAGTTGAACAGAACGTCTTTTTGTTATTCGTCTGTAAAAATGAAATACCTACTAGATTTACCATAACAATTAATGATAAATAGCACAGACATCATGTTCTTTTTTCTTTTGATATCTGTCTTAAACGTGTCCTTTGCCCATGCAGAGCCCGGGCTCGGAAGTCTAGTGTTTTCATGGGTTGCTGAAAGGAGTAAATTAAAAGTGTTTTTCTGTTTAAATTCAACTACATCCTCTTTAAAGTCTGATCATTCGTGATGACCCATTTGCGACAAACCTACCTCGAAAAGTAGGTTGATCCAGCGGCCTCGCTCCTTACTTCTGCTTTCTTTTGGTCCTCGATTGAATTGGCATTTGTGTTTCGAACAAAAATATTTACTCCCGCGTCATTTAGGTTTCATTACGTACAAGTTGTGAAAAAAATTACTGCTAACGATCTTCGGTGCATACATGATGGTCCATTTGCGACAAACCTACCTCGAAAATTAGGTTGATGCAGCGGCATCGCTCCTTACTTCTGCTTTTTCTTGGTTTTGGATTCAATTGGCATTTGTGTTTCGAACACAAATACACACATCAAAAGTGTCTAGGGATCAACATATATTTTTGCAATAACTTTTCTCCTGATTGATATTAATTAAAATTTTCTTTAAGGATTCATCAAATAAAGTGTTTTCGTTTTTCACAGTAACGATAAACCAAGTCACCTTTGCATTAATAAAGAAATTTGCCATTTTCCTAATAAAGGGATTTTTGACATTTGAACCACTCACACAAAAGTTCGAAAAAAAGACTGAAATAACAGTTTTCTCTAAAATTTTATTGGGTAACTTAAACAATTAATAATCCGTATTTCTACCGCGAACACTAACAACACAAGAACATCGGTTTGGCATACTCAAAATGAGTTCATCCAAATCACGCTGTGGAATGGCCGCCCATGTTCGTTGCAACAACAAAAAAAGGTCTTCTTGCGACTGGATACCCTCCATATTCGGCAGAGCTCTTCTCTGTAGCATATCCCATGCATGCTCAATCGGGTTCAAGTCTGGCGACTGAGCAGGCCAGGGCAGGACATTGATGTTAGCTGCGGCGAGAGTCTGTCTTACAACTCTTGCGGTGTGCGGTCGTGCATTATCATGCATTAACTGAAATAAGGGACCGATTTGCACTTGTAGAGGAACGATGACGTCTGATACAATCGTCTCAGCATAAATTTGAGCGTTGAGGTTGCCTCTGATCCAAATCAACTCAGTTCTTCCGCCGATCCAAATACCCGCCCATACCATGATGGTTCCACCACTATAAGGATGGACTTCCTGGCAGGATTCTAATCGCTGTTGGCGTCCAGGGGTTCTCCAGTGTCGTATACGTCTTGTATCCGGTCTCATACCAAAACGAGACTCATCAGAAAAGCACACGAAACGCCATTGTTCTTCTGCCCAATTTCTGTGTTCAAGAGCCCATTGATATCGAATCCTACGATTGTGCATTGCTATAGGTGGTACCCGTAGCGGTCTTCGGGAATGAAGGTTCACTTCATGCAAGCGGTTTCTGACTGTTTGGTCGCTAATTAAGTTCCCTGAAGAGTGATGAAGCCTCACGGCTAACATCATGGCGGTTATTGTTGGAGCTCTTCGAGTTAAGATTTGAATGTATCGGTCTTGTCTCCGTGTGGTGCAGCGATACCGTCCTCCATGGCGCTCAGCCACGGTACCAGTGCTTCGGTATCGTGTCCAAAGTCGACTGATAACACTCTGACTTGTATTCAGAGCTAAAGCCACAGTACGTTGCCGGGAACCAGCTTCTATCATTCCCACGGCTCTGAGCATTTCTTCCCTGCTTAAATGACGTCGCCGCTCCATAATAACGTTGGTTTTAATCAGAAGTAGGGAAACAGTAGCACTAATAATGTCTTCAATGCGTTGTATGTTTTTATAGGGAAAATATTGACAGCTGATTTTCATCTTTTACTCGAATTTGATTCACAGTTCCTGATTCAAATTATGAAATGCACCAAAAAGGATCCATATAAATTTATAAAATCATAAATTTATTACAAAGCCACATCTCAATCTCAAGAAATCCGCATAAAAATGCTTGATCCCTAGACACTTTTGATGTGTGTATTTACTCGTCATTTAGGTGTTTATTTAGGTTTCATTACGTACAAGTTGTGAAAAAAGAAATGACTGCTAAAGATCTTCCGGGCATACAAAGATACCTTAACTCTAAAGTATCACCAAGTACACCCTAGTAAACTTCTTCAGCAAAAATAACATGGACAACGGAGCCAACGCAGTAGCAATTTTTCATTCAGAAATGTCTGCTGCGCAAGTTTATTTGTCCGTAGTTTTATTCGAAAGTTTGCCGCTGGTTGTACCGATCGTTTGTTCACCAGGGATACCGCATGGAGTGCCCGCCCGGCTGCCCAGCGGCCGTGTACGAGCTGATGCGCGGCTGCTGGCAGTGGGCGCCCGCCGACCGACCCACCTTCCGGGACATACACCACGCGCTCGAGCACATGTTCCAGGACAACTCCATCAACGACGGTGAGACGGAACGCTTCACTTCCACACACTTTATGCACACGGCTGAGGAATGGAATGCAAGCCGGTGTTTGTTTCCTGAAAATTAATGTGCGGATTTTTCTTGGTAGAAGGCTACAACTATTTTACTTTGTTTCTCCCAGCTACTTTCCTTTCATTCGACTTTCTCTATGGCAGGCGGATACAAATAAACTTGATATTCAGGGCGGCCTCCAGTTATAAGTTAGGGCCTGTCCACATTTCCACATCACGGTGTCGTCAACGTAAAATGGTGCCGGTTACGTTGCACGGTACGTTGACATGACGTGCAAACCTGGTCGTTATATCACTGCACCGTGCCACGTTACCGCACCGTTCCACGTTAATGACGTCGTATCGTGGAGATGTGGACAGGCACTTACCCCTATCATGAAAGCTATACTTGACAATCGTTTGAACAGAGGTGGAGAAGCAGCTACAAGAGGGCTCGTCGACGCCGCAGATGTCCCTGAAGAAGGCAGGCGGCGAACGCGCAGTGCAGATGCGCCGCCCCACTAACAGACGCGGCAAGCAGGCACCCACGCCACCCAAACGAACCAGGTTAGTACCCCGTTGTACGAAATACAACATTGACTTGCACCATTAATGGTGCAGATGAAACTGATTTGTTTCGTTTGCACCATGAATGGGCCAAACGAACCACAGACCTATAGATAGTGCCATCTGCACCATTATGATGATACTGATACTATAATTGCTGTTATATGATATATACCTAATTTATACACCTTTGCAGTTTTAATTTAATTTTACAGTTATATAATTGGAAAACTGGACAAAATTTTCGTAATAACATGATTGAAACTTGTATGATACACAATCGAGGATTTGGAGTCCATTTGTTTATTCGTCTTTCATTTATTTTTGTAGCATTATTTTTATGACGAGGAAAGAAAGGGTTTATTGTAATATTCATATTAATGGTGCAAACGAAACCAATCAGTTTCACGTGCACCATTGATGGTGCAAGGCAATGGTGTTTACAGTACAACGGGGTTAGTACTAATGTACCAGATTACTCCTGAAGATCGTACTACTGTTAGGGAACAGTAGGGTAATTCTATACATGGACGGCGTGATTGATTCTCAGTAAGGTATAAATCAGTCGTTACCGCCACGGAGAGATCACATTCCGGAGTCTTAGTACCGTGTCTTCCGAAAACCAAAGGAGTTCAAATTTTTAGCTTTTCGTGCGATTACCAAACTTTGAAGGTTGTGTGAATGACTCATTCCTGGTGAGAGATTTATCATGACCATCAGCCTTTTAATGTCCCCACTGCGGGGGCATAATCCTTCCATACGGATGGAATAGGGAGACTAGGATGATTAACCACCTACCACGCTCGCTCAGTGTGGATTGATAAGTGCTAAAGACTGCGGATGCAAAAGGTCCCCTCCGAAGCACGGAGGAACTCAAAATAACACATTTTTAGATACCCATCCTATGACAGGCCTTATGCGAAATTGCTTAACTTCCACAATCTCAAACCGATGACGCTAATGCACTGATCCATCGAGAATTTATACCTAACCCCTCGTTTAAACCAAGGTATAATACATGTACATGTATTTAACAAATTTTGTACAATATCTTCATTTATTGTTCACATGTATACATGTATAAAACATGTAGTATACAATGCTTGCATCGAACTTGTTGAATAAACAAAATATGTGAAGTAAATAAGTGATTTATACTTGTAAAGATCTAGTTGTCTATGCAATGTAAACGAAATAATGTTTTAAACAGTCACAACAAGATTCTAAAAGTTTTGCGTAAAACTAGTATTTATATGACTTGTTTCTTGGTGTAAACGAGGGGTTAGGATATTTGTTTACCAGATAATAATGTCCAATTCATTCGATGTTCTGCGAACCGCAATTCGTATATTGTGTAATTATGTATTTTATATGGGCTGTTGTATAGTATTATGTTGCCTTTGCGCAGCCTGCTGTCATCGTGCAGCTCATTCCGCGAGTCTCAATACGCGGCCGACGAGCAATCCGCTCAGGACGAGTCGTTGGTCTCGCTCAACGGTCAGTATCACACAGTATGCCCATCTCAAACTCACACACATACAACGACATTTGTACCTCACAAAAAACGAGTTAGCCTTACAGTAGTCGCGTATGATGTGTAACATTTATAACCTCACCTTATATTAGTAACAAAATAAATAAAACCTACTACAAAAGGAATAAGCCATTTGAACATTATGTTCTAAAATCAAATCAAATAGAGCGCGCTTTCGTGACTTCCTGTTACATACTTCCGTCCCATTTCACGAAATCCCCCCACAAATTGCAGGAAAGCGAGAGGAAAGATTTTACACATCAATAATGTTCAATAACTGGTGCCTACACGGCAAAATATTAGAAAAATATTTCTTTACCAAATGAAGAAAAAAGTAGCTCTCGCCGAGCTTCTATGCCGTAGTTTCGCAAACTGAATAACTTTTTGATTTCCTGAAGCACCCGTTACAACCTAGACTAAATAAAAGATTTTGTAAAGTTTAAATTGCATTTTCAAGCTTCCCCTTAAAAGCTCCGCTAGCTATTTAAAATCATTTTTGCCAATTATCTGCGCCGATGTAGAATGACAATGTTACTTATTTTTGGAGTATAAATGTAAGATCAAACACACTGACTATACCTAAACGACTGTGAATGTTATACTCATCGGTTGTATAATATATTTTTACTAACTAACTAACCCACAACAACACCACTATACCATACTCAATATCTATTCTTGTCAAATGAACATTCACATTCGCTAACACTAGTCTTAAAATTTAATAATTAAGATATTCTTTTTAATTAAGATGTGTTTAGACTAACCAAGTATAATTGTTGTGTTTATTTTTATACAAAGCTTGACTTACCACATTCAATACTTGAATTCTTTGAACTTATTTTCTTTGCAGTAAAAATTTGGTTTTCTTATCGCGTTCGTATATGTCAATATTTTATCATAAATTCTTAGAATTGCTACACTTATTATCTATGATTCAATTTTGTAATACATTTATTTTACTCGAAATAATAAATGGGTTTGTATAGAAATCGAAGATGAATTTGTAACATATTATAAAAGTGTGACTTTTATAATATGTTACAAATTCATCTCCGATGATTTTCTCAGAATCGAAAATTTTTGCTTTTTGGTACCTAAGTGGTGCTATTTTTAAAAACATAATATAGTGCTTTCTTACGCAGTTTCATTGAAAACTGGTTAGGCACGACAAATTATTTCCATTTCTAACTCCATTACCTGCTTTATGTTTTCCCGAACTAGTGTTTTATGACCAATAGTAATATTGGTGTATAAAGATATTTTCGTACCACTTGCTCAAAAAAGTGGCATTCTATGCCACAAAAAGCGAACATAACAATAGTCATTTTTAATCTGTTAAAAACAGGGAAAGAAAATTGTACTGAATTTCATTCATCCTCTAGGGGGAGAATGTGATTTACATTTGGAATACTTACCGAAATTTATACTGAACTACATCTGTGTTTTCACCATTGAGTTTGTATATAAAGCATTATACATCTTTTTGAAAAAGGAATACGCATTTATTGTGCAGTTATGAATTACGAAAACCGATGACCGTATTTAATTGGAACAATGTTTCGAATGTTAACATTTACTTTTAACTGTCATTATTTTTAATAAATGCTTATCTCATATTATTTTTGTGTTAATTTTTTCGCAAATGGTACGAAAAGTAGAGTATTTTCCTCGGTGATAAAGCTGTCTTAGTCTTGGGTGAACTTAAATCCCTTGCTACACTCAGGACTCGTCTTAAATCCGCTTCGCTCGTCATTTAAGTTTTTAACACCCTCGCTACGCTCGCGATTCAAATCGTCACCCGCGACAGAAGACACTGCTTTACCCCCTTGGTTAAGTAACTACTATTATTGATCACGAACTCTTAAAGAAATAAACCAATATTATTAAAACGAAAAGCAGAACTATATTTATCATTTCGGTCATACTTACAAAATATCACTAGCTTATTATAATTCTTTAAAGTCGTACACATACTTATAGTATAAAATATGTATAATTGTTTAAGTATAATATTCATTCTACATATCACGTATAATACATTTATGACTGTATGTTTAGTAAAAACACAACGTGGCAGAAAGTGAGGTGAGTTCCGTATAATAGATAGAAAGTTTTGTATAGTTTATAATATCGTAATTATAATAAACATACAAACATATATTTTATATAATAGTTATTTGGTATTATCTCATATATTGTTACTTTATAAAATCCTTTAAAATTTAAATTATTTTGACTACTTTAAAATAAAACGACCCTAACTATACTAAACACGTTATTTAAAAATAATTTCTTTAAGTATAAAATTTGTTTTTCTCAATTGTAAACACTTATTTTCTGTCCCTTTCTGTCCCGTTGTACGCTCTCGTGTCTTTCATGGCATTTCGTGGCATTCATTTTTATTTTTCGCTTCTCTTAGTATTTTTATATAATTTTGGACTTTTCTGCTTTTATGTTTATTCTAGTAATAAATACGTATAGATAAAAGCTTTACTATTTTTAGTACCTAATACTCAGAAAACATTGCCTTGTATTTAGCCTCTACTTTAAAAAAAGTAAACTTGACATCAATTACTGTAACTGTTAAATAATAAATAAGCTAAGAAACGGAACCAGATAATCCTAAGGCTGGCCTTAAACAGTCTGGAGAATCTGAACCCAAAATATGAATTTTTGATCTAAATTCTAGTTTAAAATCTAACCTAAAGTCTTGTTATGAATTCCGTTCGATCTATGGTTTGATCAGTTGTCTCGCGAACAACTATATATAATACTAGGTTTAAATGTGGCGATTTTAGTTGATCAACTGCTAAATCGCATGCGACTTAAATCGTCTGAACAGACTTTCAATCAAATTGAAGAACAGCAATTGAATGATAAGAGTTGAACATTTTAAATCGCGTCGTATGAAACCGGTCTAAGTATTTTGAGACGGTTTAAATCTCACGCGATGTAGCAGTTTATTCACTATAATAGATATACTATTTTAGTGTTAACACACGTTAGAGAGATTATATCAACTGACAAATTCATAATCTTCCGATTTTTCGTAAGATTCCGTATATGTACGTGCTCGTCGTAGATAATGTATGAAAAGAGGTGCGTATGGAATTTATAATCTAAATTTTCTTATTGTGAATTCATAAAGCCGGACAGTTTTATTCTGTAAGATCAACCTTACACATTTATAATCTGATATAAAGAATCAGAAAGTTAAATTGTATGCAATTCCGTGCGCTCTGAATTAATAATAAACGATGATTCCAGATTCTGATTCAGACTGTGTGAGGCTAGCCTTACCTTTTACTGGAGTTTGATAATTGAAACTGGCCTATAAGAGAAATACTGTTCAACTGTCAGTTGTTTCAGAATCTGTTTTTTTCTACGACCTTGACGAGAATGTGCGGAAAGTTAATTTTTTCTTTCATATTATTATCATATTATATTAAACGCATTATCATTTCGGTCTTGCCTGCATGACATATGGCATGTAAATGCGTTGTTTATTTATTTGTGTTGTGATTCAGTATTAACAGATATCAAAGGAAAACTTCAATAAACATGCATGCCAATATAAATCACAACACAGGTATTTTGTTCGCAATTCAACTTAAAGTTATTCTCTGCTACGATATTTGTTGAGTTAATGATATGTTTGCTAAGGTCCAAGAGGGAGACGAACACGACTTAGGCTTGAAAGGCGCTCTAATTGGCCTCTACTTGGACATATGCAGCTAAACATGTAGGCCTTGTATAAAAATATTTAAATATTTTTTAATAAACATTAATAATGTTACCTTAGATACTAAATATTTCAATATGCTGCGCCTGTCCTTTTAAAATTATTTGTTTTACACAACAAAAGATCCTTATAAAAGTAGAACAAAAATGTAAAACAATATAAATAGGTATAAAACCTTAATTGATTTAAAATCTATATAAAAGAATGTAATTTATATTTCCATAAACTTACGCGCACTTAAAACACCATAAGTTCTTTAATTTATCATGTAAAATAATTTGGATAAATATTCTACGAATATCGCGGTACGTGCTAGGTATCGAGAACTCTCTGCCAATGTAGAATTGAAGTCACCATGATTTTGACTGTACTTTTATAATTGTGTAAAACTTACTTTTTTTATAAATGTAAACGTAAAATAAATAACTGATTATTGTAACCCTTAAGACTTATTTTGATGTCAATCAATAGGAATTAATTAAGAAAGTTTAAAAAATATTTTCTATTATTTTATTAATCTATTGAGTGTGTGTGCTTTTTGTTTATAATTTTTATGTATATATTTTTCATATTTACATGGTTTGGTTCAGTTACTTATCATTTTTACTTTGCGTTAAAAGGAGGACATTTAAAACTTACTATACTACACCGTATTGTTGAACTGTTTAGTGAAAACGCAATCTTATTAACTTTGTATATACCTCCGATAAAATTGTGCAATATTATATGATTTATTTAGAAGGATGATCTTGATAACTGAATTGGAATGCTAACTTGAAGAAGAATCCTCCCCTTTAAGCCTTGTTCACGCTTTGATCAGTGATAAGTCCGAGTGTTGAGTATTGAATATATTTGGAGTTAATTAGAAATCTGTTTTACTAAACGGTTCGCAGTCTTTTAACTATTTTTTTCCAAACTGTTATGATACATTTATTCAATATGTACTTTATTTTATGTTTCGGATCCTCTAAAGGTTAATAAAGGCCCTCGTAGTAAGGGTCTGAATAGCCAATTAATTACCTCAAACCTATTTGTTTTTATTTTCACGAATAAAAGACATATTCTTTAATTTTCCTTTTTGTTTCCTTCTCCGAGGTTATTTTTATCTCATTATTTACGCAGTTTTAACGTGGAACCGTAATAGATGGTTTATTGCACAATAGTGTTGCTTTAGTCTTCCTCCATTTATTGCACAATATTTTTGCTTTAATCTTATATGGCTACTACAAAATACTCTCAAAATAAAAAAAGTTTGTGTACGTTGGTATACTTTTAAAAACAATACGATTTAGTTCTGTAAAATTCTGTAATAGAACAGTATTTTCCCCCGTATAAAATAATGAATGTAGTTATGTAATATTCCATAACTAAGTATAACTAGAACATATTATTATATTTTTTTGCATTGACTACTACATTTTGATATCTTAAGAAATTCGCCAGTTAAAAATGTGATGTCTCCATCTCCGATAATAAATACGGGCCGATCCACACAAGATACGGATGGTTCTGTGCAATCATAACGTCACGAAACTCTGCTTACTCGTAGCTCGGGGTGTTACTCAGCGTACAGCTCTAAAGTCTCTCTCAAATATTATCTTGCTGACATAACGGTTAAGTTTATACTGTATCAATTTGCCTTCGCATTTCTTTGTGACTAGAATAAAACTATTTAGTATATTACAAAACAGAAAAGCCTCACTTTGCCCTAGGCTCGTCGTCAGTCAGGCAAAGACATTATTGCTAGTCACAATTTGTGGCATTATCGTTGTACAATTATGATAAACCAACGTTACTTGGAACGACTCATTGCAAATCTCTCTTCCGTGGAGATGACCCTTCAGTTAGAGAAAAAATAAACTTTTCTCAAAAGTTACAGTATTATAGTTGTTTGTTTACTGGTACATTTCTATGGGTACAAGAGTAAAGTGCGATTCAATCTCTATGACGGTTGTGTTTCAATCTCTATGAAGTTGGCGGCGAGCGTAATTATGCGCAGCGACTTGCACTTTGACTTCTGAGCCGCCATTAAGTTTGTATCCCACTATGTTTGTATGAAAATGTTCACGTTTGAGTCTTGGTAATTTAAGGTAATACTGAGCCATGTGTATCAGGTGGCGGTCGCGGGGGCGGGGGCGGGGCGCGCGAGGCCTCCTCGGAGGGGTCGCTGGCGGAGGCGACGCCGGACACGGACGAGTCGGGGCCCGGGGGATCGGGGCCCGGCACCCAGGCGCAAGAACACCGACACAGGGCCAAGAGGCGGCATCATCCGCCCGCCCACCATCACGAACTGCAACCCAAGGTAAGGTAAATGCTAGACGGTGTACATAGAGAAAATCTGAAATGAAAGCACTGTAGTATGAATTTGTATTGCATATAAGTTATTTATCTGGCTGTGTAAATGTATAAGAGCATTTTATATTTTTTCGGTCATAAATATCAAAGAAATTTTGACTAACTACGACGAACTTTAATAATTATTGATACATACCGGAGTTCTTAAAAATACCGATACACAGACATAACAGATCAGCGAGCGTTTTAATAATGTTTCTATTTGACTTATTTATAATTAATATATATTAATATATTAAATCTTGTAATAACAACAGGGCGTCCAAGTAGCAGCTCTAGAGGTGCAGAACGTGAAGCGCGCCATCAACCGCTATGGCACCCTACCCAAGGGCGCGCGCATCGGAGCCTACCTCGAGTCCCTGCGGCAGACCGGCGCCCCCGCCCCCGCTCCTGTGCCTACGCCCTTAGACGAGGCTCGCTCCCTCTCCCCCCGCACCGCCCGAGCCCAAACACACATGATCCGCTCCAACTCGTCGGGTGGCGTCACCGCCCCCGCCCCTGCCTCTCCCCGCACCGCCCGAGCCGCCCCCCCACTCCGCTCCTTCACCAACAGCCCCGCCAAACCCCGTCCACGCCTTGCTGAACTAGAATTCCCACCCCCACCCCCCGATCTACCCCCGCCCCCCGAAGAAACGCAACCACCCCCGCCCCCGCCCCCAGACTGCTGCCGCGACGCCGGCACAGACACCGCGGAACACGAGCCCGACGAGAAATCAGCCAAACAGTCGATGAAGGAAATGCTCGAACTCAAACTGGTTGCCGAGATCAAAGAGCGGGCAGATAAGAAGAAGCAGAGACAGCGAGACTCCCCGCCTCATGATATCATCGAAGTGCACCCGTCGTTCGGCGATCCTGTCACCAGACTCGTCTCCGAACTCTCGGAGAGCCTTAACCTGGAGCCGCGCAAAGACAAGAAGGCGGAAACGCCCGCGCGACCCGTCGACAACGGAAAAGAGACCGTCTCGCCCATAGACTTAAAGGCGAGTTTGCGCAAAACGCCCTACAACAACAACGTCGACCAGACGAAGAAGGACGACAGGCCCGGTACTGACTTCAAATCGCAGCTAAAGAAGGTGGAGACGAACAAGAAGGCGAACAGCTCGACGAAGGAGACTGAAGAGTCGGGAAGGTCGATAATCGACTTTAAGTCGAGGTTGCGGAAGGTGGACAGTGGAACCGCCGCCACTAATGGTACAGTTAAAAAAGAGCAGAGTTCTCCGGAGGAATGTAAGGAGACAGATCGGAAGCGGTCGGAGAGCGGATCCCTGGACACGAGCGGAGGCGACGAGGAGGATAAGCGGCGGAGCACCGGCAGCATCAGCAGCTTGAAGAAGCTGTGGGAGAACAAGGAGACAGAGGAACGACTCAGCCCAAAGCTGCGGACCAAGGTAAATTTTACTCACTGCTAAACACTTCATTACCGCATTTGGAGAAATTTATAAATTTTTCAAGTTTATAACAAGTTGATGGTGTCACTTTCTATGTGATTAAAACAGAATGAGTAACACAACTTGATAAAGCTTTCAATTAATGTTAATCGCTGTTAGGCCGTGATTCCACCTGCAAAAAACTTTTGCAAGAAATATCTGATAGTCTGTCCGACAGCAACTTCGTAACTTGCTATGCTGTCGCGAGCGTACCTGCTAGGTAGTTAACAATTGCAAGTTGCTGTCGGACAGACTATCGGACATTTCATGCAGAAGTTTTTCTTGCATGTGGAAACGCGGCCTTAAACTAATCACGTTTGTTTGACTAATAAAATCAACGCTTACGAAAGCTATTGTCGCGGCGTTCAGCCTCCTTGGACTGACTGACTAGCCTACAGATGACAGACGGACATTATGACAGTACTGACAGAAAAAAGAGGACAATGGCCTACGATTCAGGACGGCGAGGACTGCCAAGTTTCGTTCCACCGACTTCTACGACCTTAGCAAACGACGACTCCAACGACCAGACAGCTATATACCAGCGTTTATATCTCATGATGTTGTTTTGTGTACTAAACGTATTCCTCTGTTACCTTCGAGTCCATTCTTTCATTTTTTTTCTTTCTAGTAAAGCTTCACCAATCTTCAAAATGATGAGGAGCTCGATGGCGCAATTGGTTAGCGCGTTCGGCTGCGATCGTTCAACGATAAAGCAACTTTCGCAGTGGTCCGTCATTTTGCATTTACTATCTCGAGCACTCCATGCTTCGGAAGGCACGTTAAGCCGTTGGTCCGGACTGCATCAACTGTAGTCGTTAGCACCCACCAATTCAAAAAAAAAAAAAACAAAATTAAATATCGTTTTATTCAGTCTAGGCTGTTACAAGCACTTGTGAATGTCGAAAAGCTACGCCATCGGTTCGTAAATCTACGGCGGGAGACCTTGTACTGAGAAGAACCGGCAAGAAACTCAGCAAGGGCTGTTTTTTTCTCCCTGTATTTTAAACAGAGTCGTCAATTTGAAAAATGACTTCAATATGAGATAGCTCATGAAGTCACTTTCCATTACAACTGTAAAACAATTATGACAATGTATAACAATGTAAAACAATTATGACTATAAAATAAAATGAAAAAAATAGAAAAAATAAAAATAAAAAAAAAAGTTTAGGAATGCCGTGTCCTACTGTTTAGGCATAAAACAAATGTACCATTAAAGTTAAATACAACTATTAATAGTACCCAATGTAGCAAGAGCAGACTCATCTCCGCTGGCAGCACCCGTTCACGAGCATGACGCATGAACCAGCCATCGCTTCGCTCAACCATCTTTAGGGAACGTAACGACCCGGAATTCTGGAACTGAGATACGACTGTAATTTATATGCAGTACCTTTGACTTCATAATGACTTAATTTCAATAACAGCGTGTGATGATCAACGCAATCAAAAGCTTTGGATAAGTCACAGAACACTCCAAGAACATTCTGCGACCTCTCCCAAGCCTCCAATATACTCCTTACAAGTGCAACACCCGCGTCAGTAGTAGATCTACCTCTGGTAAAACCAAATTGTTTCCTATGCAAAAGTTTATTCAGGTTAAAATGAGGCATTAATTGTTCCAGAATAATTCTCTCAAATATTTTACATAGAACCGGTAATATTGATATAGGCCTATAATTTCCAGGTTCACTTCTATTTCCTGATTTAAAAAGAGGTATAACTTTACTGTATTTCATCAAATCCGGAAATACTCCTTGATCAATACAGTAATTAAATATATCAACTAGATAAGGGGCAATAACGGGTATTATACTTTTAATAACTTTAGTAGAAATACCCCATAAATCACTTGTATTTTTTTTTGTTTAAGAGATTTAAAACACCATATAATATCAATAAAACTAATATGTCTAAACTAAAACACGTTATCACACTTAGGTACATATTTCTCGAGCAATGTCTTGGCAGCCACCGTTGAAGAGCTCAAATTAGATGTAGCCACCAAAGGAACATTAACGAAATATTCATCAAAAATATTAGCGATATGCTCCTTAGATTTTATTACAATGTTATTGGCCTTAAGTTCAATAATATAGTCACGTGGCCTTTCTTTGCCTGTTTCACGATTTATAACACTCCACGTTGTTATGATTTTATTATACGAGTTACATATTTTATTTTTAATAAAATTAGATTTGGCTGTTGCACATACCTTTTTGAAGGTTTTAGAATAACATTTAACGTAATCAATAAAACCTTGTGAATGATCATATTTTCTCAGATGATACAATTCATAAAGTTTGTTTCTACTTTTATAGATAGATACCAGTCGTAGCCCAATCACAGAACTGTAACTTCTGAGTAAGTTTCGAAGTTTTTAAAGGAAAAGCCTTATCGAATTCATTCCTTATTAGATTAAAAAGATCCCCAAAAAGAATATCAGGATCATCATGTGTCCATGGGATATGAGAAATCCTATCATCAATGTTTTTTTGAAAATTTTCTAACCTGTTTTCTGTTACTGGTCTCAATTCAATCACTTTGATTTCATTTTTTACATCTATTTTATATTGTATTTTTAAGCCATAATGGTCAGATGTAATACTATTAAAAATAGACTTATTATCAGGAGTACTATCTGTAAATACATTATCCAAACAAGTTGCCGAATGTGATGTCACCCTAGTTGGCTCAAAAAATTTATGGATCAAATTAAAACATTTAAATAGTGATATTATACGTACTGACATTGAATTTTGTTCAAGATTATTAATATTAAAGTCACCGCAAACAACCAAAAACTTATTTTTTGACTTTAACTTTTTCAGTACATCTTCCATTACAGATTCAAAAATGTTAAAGTTACCTAGAGGGGGTCGGTATACGCATACAATTATCATCTTATTTAGTTCCACACAAGATAGCTCAATGCTACGTTCAATTGAAAGGCCAGCTATATCCTTTCTATCCTTACATTTAATATTTTTGTTGACAAAAATCAATGAGCCGCCGTGTATGGCTGTTTTTCGAACATAAGCACTCAACAACTGAAAATTGTTTATGTGATAAGACATTTCACAAAACTTGAGCCAGTGTTCCGTTAAACATATAATGTGTATGTCCTCACTTTTTGAATACAATTCTAATTCTAGGTCTTTGCCAGCCAAACCTTGTATATTTTGATGAATAATATTAATAATGCTTTTATTAGGTTTGGCTGTTGTCTTTAAGCTCAGTTTAAAACTGGGCTGGTTAAATTGTTAATAGAGTTAATATTTCTTTTACTAGAAATACTAACACTATTTTGTTGAATAGGGTTGGTTATACCATGCATAACCGTATTTTGTATATTAAAAGCTAAAAAATTAGCTATCTGGGTCCTAAATCTCTTTGCGAGATACACAGTACCTGTAGTCAACTTAAAATATCTAATATATTTATTTATATCGAAATATAAACATACGTCACTATGACTATTAATTAAATTATAAATACCTAAATTCAAATTAAAGATGCGCTTGTTCTGTTCCCTAGATAAGTTATGTGCATATGGGAAAGCGCTAATTATTATTTTACAATTTGATTAAGATTGTATTTTTAATAAGTGCTCAACACTTTTTGTAATGTCCCGTATTGATAATTTGGAACTGTCACCACACAAAAACAATAGGTTAGTATAACTATCCACATTATGGTAGGTCCAGTTATTAACAATGTCATTAAATGATTTTCCAGGAGTACATATATTTATAATATTTTCATCGCTGTTATTTTTTACTAATAGTCCTAACCCCTGACCTAAGTTGTCTGAGAATATAATTGTTTTATTTTTATTCAACTTTGAGTTTTCAGAAAGCGCTGGCTTGAAAGGAGAATTATTATATGTTGTGCCAATTTTTTGTAAATGACTGATGAATGACCAGAAATTTGGGAAACTAGATTATTATCTATATTAACATTTTCTTCTAATGATAATGACAATGATGATTGATTTGAAGAACCAATCAATTGACTTTTAATCAACGAGTTATTACGTTCTGCGTTGAAATTGCACAGTTCAACTAATTCTGTTGCAGATTTTATGTGCTCAGTTATTTGACTTTGTGCACTAGCATATTTATGTTTAATTGATTCTAACGCCTCATGCAAATTTTGAATTTCTAATAGTAATTTCTTTGTATCTCGGTCATACATCTGCCTACTTTTATGTAATTTTGTATTATATATGTCAAGAGGTTAATTTTTTCCTTTCTAAGGGATATATTTTTATAAAAACAATTGTTTTTGTCAAAAGTTTCTCAGTTTTTTTTATGAATTTACTGATTCGGATATTATTTTTTTAATTTTTTCACACTTACACTATTATGGGGAACCTTCATAGTTCATAGCTACAGGCTCTAAATTTAAATTCAAGTTTAAGGGTTCTCCAATCCGCACTGAGCCCGCGTAGGGGATCATAGTCCAATCCACCAACGCCACAGCAGTGAGCTCATTACACGGAGCACCCCCACTAGAGTCCGCATACAAGGGCAAGCGCTTACGCCAAGCTTAAGTAGTATTTTACCTATGCGTGAGGCACGCCTACAGACGTCGCGATACATCGTTTCATTCGGTAACCGAGCGTTGGTCGAACTGCTTCTCTCGTTTTCGTGTTAAAAAACTGTAAAAAATGCCGTACTGTGCAATTAAATTGTGTGGAAAGTCGAGTACAACTTCCAGTCTAAAAAAAATGATATTACTTTTCACTGGTTAGTTTAAATGCATTACAAAAAGACAAAAATACTGTTATATTAAATTGCTGTTAATTGTATTTATTTTTTGGTGAACGCGTTGATGTCTTTTTACACTATCCCTTTCTCGCATGGGCTACATCATATATGCTATCTCGCTCTCACACCGGCACGTGTATTGCTAGTGACTCAGACGCAGCTCATGTCTCAACGCGTAAGTTTATCGATAAGTTTGTCAGCTATGGAAATGGAAAAAATAAATAAAAACTATTTATTTCATCGTATACAATAATAGATGTCATAAGTATACAACCAAGTATATAAGTTTTTATTTGACTTCAAACATATCCTAATAAAATTGAATAAACGCGAAAATTTGTATGCATATTTGTTACTCTTTCACGCTAAAACGGTTAAACGGATTTGTATGAAATTAAGTGCGCATAGTTTATGACCTAGATAAAGACATAGAATTAACGATATTAAATACCCTAGATACACCACGAGCGCTCAAAATGTGTCCCAATCAAGAAGCGCTTGAACTCCACTCAAGCGCTTCTTAGTACACAGTCACACGCGGACCATTGAAAAGTCAAGATGCCAAAGAGTTCCGTGAAAAAATGCAGAAAAATACTAATAGTACGTAAAGTGTCGTTTTTTCGACGGGTATCTAATTAACGTTTTTTAATTAACGCCTTTAAAGCAAATTTTATTGTTGTAATACTTACTATAAACTGATTTAATTTAAAATATTTGTGATATTCAAATGCATGGTCGGTTATACGTCGCCCTTAGCCATCTCTTTTCTTCGCGGTCTGTACTTGCTATATTGCTGACAGCGCATTCAAAATTGCAAGTGAAAAGTCAAAAAAAATAAGGTCTATATTCTTTCACATATAACAATAAATCGTAAAATTTTACGAACTTGACGCATGCATTTTAATTAAGACCTTATGCCGTATGCATTAAAGGTGACTTTCAATGTTTAAATAAGGCATTATATTGTTTTTGACCACGCGATCATCTTACGGACCTCCGTAGATCGTCCAATGTACCTTTTGGACACGTTTCGGCCACGATGTTGTTGTATCTAGGGTAGTTAATATCGTTGCATTAATACTTCTTGTCCTGGACGTGTTTTTTTTTTGTGTTGCTTATATATAATTTAGTATGTAGTTACTAGTCGCGTCATGTAATTAGAACGCTGGAAGAAAGTGGAGAGGGTATGATTACGCATTTGCGCACCAAAGTACTAGGGCCTCTATTCTAAATTGTTTATCGATAGAAAATATCGATATTTTCTAAAATCGATCTTACCCTCATCACTTCGCTGCACTGAGTATATGATCTGACCTTGACGCGTCCAATCACAGCGGGGCTGAACTCCCTGCACCCCACCGACTTTGGCGATTTTGATTCCAAACAAAATTTGTGTGATGCGAACTCTAGTGGGGGTGCTCCATGGCTCATTAATAAGCTGATGATGAATCTTCAAAATAAACTAAGCAGAATCTACTTATTTATTAATGTAGGATGACGAAGAGACGTCGCCCGAAGAGCGGAGTAGGCGGCGAGACGAACGGCCAGTCGTTCCGCACAAACCTGCGGTGCGGAAAGCTAAGGGCGGAATATACGCGACTCCGCTAGCACCCCGCGAGGACGAAGACGATGTACTCGCGTCTCTTAGATCGTCGCTCGACTGGTGTACCAATGAGGTGAGGACTTAGATTAAATCAAAAATAAAAATATAAACAGCCAATAGGCTCTTTGACAATATTGAAAATAAACAATGAATTGTTATCATCCTAACAAATAATAGCATAAAAAGACATATTTCACTATAATCAAACTAAATAATGTAATTTTTACGCAGATTGCACGAAATAAAATATTAATTATTTTGAAGAAAAAAACTCATGAACGCCCTGTGATTGGTCGCAACACTGATGATGTCACACACTAGTCAACAACGGATTCCTCGGTTGATTGAATTTCACCAATTTTTTGAAAAAAAAAACATTAATAAGAATCTAGCTCTTCAATTTCGCTCAACTCTGCATTACCGCCGGAGAAGTTATGAATAATCATGCAGGTCACATACGAACATGCATCATATATGTAAACGAAAGTTTTAATTCGAGTTTTTGACCGCAACATAAAGTGACATTTGGTTGACGATTTAGGTTATCAACCATTCATAGCCAAAGCAAAATAAATGAAAAAAAAGCAGCTAATATTAATTATCAACATTTGTTATTGTTTGTTTAAATATGTTTGGTTTTTATTCTAGAATCAGCTGAGTGCTAAAAAAGTGTTCCGAGATTTTTTTGCAAACCGTACTTTTCAGGCGACATTTGACAGATGGAGGTCATTGGCTTTCCTATTCTTATTTGAATCGCATTATAAGGAACCTTAGACTTGGCACGACTTTGTCTAGATTTAATTACTTTTTAGAGATAAACAAGCAGCTCCATCGAGACTTGGCTAGTTTTTTACAAAATGTTTTTGGTGGGATATTTATTTCAGATAAGTTAATTGTGACATAATCGTTTTTTTTTTCTTTTCAATGCTTTTTTCGTCGGATTTTTCGTTACATGACTCCATCAATCGACTTAGGGGTGCTACTATCTTGGTTCGGAAAATCGGTTTTGTAAATGGCGACATTGGATAACGTGTAATTCTTCTTTGAACTGTGAAATTTATTTCAGCAAGCATATCAGGTACATTAATATTTCCATTAACCAACTTATGAAGCAACAAGATGTCGGCACATTTTCTTCGTTTTCCCAGTGTCAATTTTTAAATGTTTCAGACGATTTTCATAATTTGCGCAATAGGGACAGTTACGTGAAAACAAATTTTGTGATCTTGCGGTGCATTAGTTCTATTCTTTCTTTATGAATTTTGTATTGTGGATCCATACGCAAGAGCCAAAACAATACGCACGAGAGAACTGTGCAAGCCCAAAATTGCATTGCAGTGGTTTACAAAAGTGAGTTTTTCATCCAATATGACACTTAGATCACGAACGGCTTTGACCTGAGGTAGTTGCTTGGAGTCAATTGAGTATGTAGGTGGGTGTGTGAACAATTTTTGTTTTTCCCAAACTTTATTACAAAACATTTATCCGCATTGAGTATCATTTTATTGGAATGGCAACATTCATGTACTGCATCCAGATCATTTTGCAGTAAATTTACTTCATCTTGGCTCCTGATTGAGCGATACAATTTCAAATCATAAGCAAATTTCGAGCACTTGCTATATTTAACAATTTCAAGTATGTCTTTAACAAAAATAAGAAAAAGCACAGGACCCAAAATAGAGCCCTGAGGAACTCCTGAGGTTGCCGTGAAAGATCTGGATGTATAACCGTTAACAACGACCCTAAGCACCCGATGCTTCAAATACGATTTAAACCACTAAAGCACAGGTCCATGAATGCCGTACCGTTTTAACTTGTGAATTTAAATATTATGGCCCATCTTGTCGAACGCGCTGCTTAAGTCTGTGTAAATAGAGTCCACCTCACCACCGGAGTCGATTCGTTTGCTTAACTTATTCGTGTAACATATAAGGTTAGTCACCGTACTTTTTTTCTAACAAAAATTATGTTGACTCTTACTAAGGAACCTTTTGCAATGGGTATTTAAGATAGGACAAATTATTTTTTCGGACATCTTGCTAAAAGTATTTCAAATTGACACCGGCCTGTAGTTACTAAGATCATCATTTTCACCTTTTTTGAAAATTGGAACTATGTAAGTTACTTTCAGTGCATCCGGAAAAACAGAAGTATTGAGAGCAGCTGAAAAAGTAATCTTTAGAGGCAGTGCGATATATTTACAGGTTTTCTGAATGAAAATGGGAGGAAGTCCATCTGGTCCTGCACCCTTACTTATATCTAACCTTTAGATAGCTTTCGGTATCATACGTTCTGTAATACTGATACTGCCTAAAGAGAGCTGCGGGTACATGTGACAAAGTTCAGCGTTTTCCGATGTTTTCCCCCAGTTGCTATGAGAGTATACATCGGCAAAGTGTTTCGCAAACAGATTGCATATTGCGTCACCGGAGCCTACCTAGCAGTCCCAGAATTTGAGGTTCTTTGGGAAGTTTTGCTGTAACCCCCTTATTCAGAAACAAGGAATAAGCTTAGACTGGTTACGCTGTGTTTTGTGCATATCACTTAAATGCCATTTGTCATTCAATGTACAGAGACAAAACATAGAGCAAGTAATCCAAACTTAGTCTTCGTTTATTATTAAGGTGGTTAGAGTTAGGAACCATCTTTCAGCGGCCTTCCTTAGAGTAGTACTTTCCACACCTAGTAATATTATGTGTGTGGGGGGTAGGTTCGCCGCGGTTGCGGGGGCAGCGGAGGGCGCGGTTCCCTGTGGCGGCTGCAGACGTCCGAGCGTCTCGCGCGCCTCGGGTCGTTGTGCGCGGCAGCCGCGGGCGGGACGTGCGCGCCGCAACTGCGCGTGCAGCTGCGAGCGGCAGCCGCGCGACTGGAGGCGGAGGCTCGCGCTCTCGCCTCACCCGCCCCTCCCACGCACCACCTGGCCGACGGCGTGGAGCAGGCGCTGCGCGAGCTGCACACCATCGTGCACAGGTGACGCAACACACACGCACACAACTGCGGACGCGCTGCGAACGTTGAAGTTAAGCAACTATCGCAGTGGTCGACCATTGGATGGGTGATCAAAACTTTACTATCTCGAGCTCCTCCGTGTTTCGGAAGGCGCGTTGAGCGTTGGTTCCGGCTGCATTTGCAGTCGTTAACACCCACCACTCGGCATTGCGCCATGGCACATCACGCGCACGCACTCTCTTTCCATCCATAGGGAAGGCCTGTGCCCCAGCAGTGAAGACATTAATATATAGGCTGATTATGATGATGATGGTATTTAAAAGTCAAAAATTCTTTGTTCAAATTGGAAGCACAATACAACTCTTTCGTATCGTTTTCCCCTATAACCAGTCAAGGATATTGTTTTTAGCTGTGGAGAAAAACTGGCGAAAAAACTTCACAGAGTTATATAATTATGTAACAATATTTACAAAATATTATATTGTTACGGTGTCAATAAAAAAATCATATCATCTTCATCATAACTATGGAAAAAGCCTGCCGGAACGTTTGGAACCGTTTACATAAACCCAAACATTTATGTCTGAAATACACTTCTGGACACATCTATTGGCCCACCTTGTATTTTCAGTTTCGTTTGGTCCTAGCTAAAATTTTATATTAGGTCGAGCAAAAAGTTTTTATGCAGTTTTGAACCTGGCACATTCACAATTTCATTCAATAGTCTTTTTTTGAATTTCGAACACAGAATTTAAAGAAACAAAAGACAATTTGGAGCCTGTTTGTTGATATCAAACAATCGAATACTAAGAAAACTTGGTTTTATTGCTTTACTTGGATTTAATTCTTGAAAAAGTGATTGATATCTTTGGTTTTGCAACAAACATTACTTATTCTTAACATCAAGGTGAGGTTCTATCAATAATCTATGGATACTTCACCTGAAGTCGCCGCCCAAGCTGTGGCACTTATTCAGGCCGGACACAGCCAAAGAAACGTGAGTGCTCAACTTAATTTAAGTCGATCTGCGGTCCGAAATGTTTATCGGAGGTACCTAGAGACTGGCGGCTTTGTTCGTCGCCAAGGAAGGCCACGATCTCGGATCACAACTGAAAGGCAGGATCGATTCATCGTGACGACCAGCTTGAGAAATCGTCACCTTACCTCCATTGAGATACAAAAACAAATTCGCGACTTCCACGGAGTATCTGTGAGCGCTCGAACTGTTCGGAGGTTAAAAGAACGCGATATGGTACCACACAAGCCAGCTAATGGGCCCAAAGTAACGCGAGCCCACCGAACAGCGCGCCTTCATTTCGCACGCAGTCATTTAAATTGGACACAGCAAGATTGGAGCCGTGTACTCTTTTCTGATGAGTCTAAAATTGTGTTACATGGCAATGATGGAAGGAAGAAGGTCTACCGACGTAAGGGAGAGCGTTACGCACAATGCTGCTTTGAAGAGAGGGTTGCTTATGGCGGTGGCGTATGGACTGTCTGGGGCGGTATATCCGCGAGCGGCAAAACTCAACTTGAGGTTGTTACAGGACCACGGCTGCCAACATTAAATGCTGAAAGGTACATTCGTGAGTGCTTAGAACCTCACGTGATACCGTACGCGAACTATGTGGGCCCAAATTTCCTTTTTATGCATGATAATGCAAGAGCCCATACGGCCGGCATCGTCAGGGAATATCTTCGGGATGTGAACATCACAGTTATGGATTGGCCAGCCAGAAGCCCAGACATGAACCCCATTGAGCACATGTGGGACGAGCTAAAAAGACGTGTTAGGGCTCGTCAGCCAGTTGCCCAGACGATGCAGGAGTTGAAAACTGCCATAGAAGAGGAATGGGAGATGATCCCTCAAAATTTCATAGAGCGGTTGATAAACTCTATGCCTAATCGTATGAGAGCTGTGGTAGATGCCCATGGAGGCAACACGCGTTATTAAATTAAACCTTTATTTGATAAAACATGTTTTTTATTCAAAAATCAATTGCCTTTAACAAGGCGCATATCCGACTTGTTAGGCGTAGCTTCATGTCGTATGGTATTCTGAATTCAAATTTAAAACAATACGATCGAAAAAGATGGTAAAATGTATCAGGTTTAAAACTGCATCAACATTTTTTGTTCAATCTAGCAATCATATTTCGGTAGGGGCCTAAGGTGGGCCAATTGATGTGTCCAGAAGTGTATAATCAAACACCTTATAATGGCTAATTATTAATAAGAACTTTTTTTAATAGTATGTAGCTTTAAATTTATTGTATTTAAAGTATAACATGTTTATAACCAGGTAAAGCCTCGCGTCGCCGTCGGAGGCCCACCCGCGCCTACACGCGCACCCCTTTACGATCGCCCCCCGCGCTCCGGACACCTATTAACCAGTGCCATCGACAAAACTCACGCTCGAGACGACCATCGACTAAATTGTCTAACTTTTTCGCCTTTCATTTCCTTAATTATTGATGTGTAACATCTTTCCTCTCGCTTTCGTGCAATTTGTGGGAGTGATTACGTGAAGTGGGACGGAAGTGGATGACAGGAAGTTTGGGAAGCGCGCGCTATTTGATTTCATTTTAGAACATAATTTTCAAATGACTTATTCCTTTTGTAGGTTTTATTTCTTTTTTTACAAATATAAGGTGAGGTTTCAAATGTTACACATCATACGCGGCTACTGTAAGGCTCGCTTTTTTTTTTAATCTGTGAGATGTATGAACAGACAGGACATATTGGTTTACGTGTCATGCCTCACAAACGAGATGTTGCGATTACAGTTTAGAGTAGAATTATAAATTATAACACTTTTCTTTGGCTTTGTCAACAATCACGATAATAGTCAAAGTTAGACAAGTTAGTACACCCCGTACTCGATACCAAACGACCACTAACAAATTGATACACGCCAAATCTCGCTCGAAATAGAGCTGCATTTAATATTACCATTCCCTTCTCAAAAAAGCGCTTGCGCAGAACTTTTCCTGTAGTGTTGCTGTTTAGAATAATAACAGTGTTGCTGTATTACGGCATGTGAATTTATAAATTATTTGTTTAGTAAGTCTGAAAGTATGGATTATGCGTGCTCGTAATGCGCGTTTCGAATGATTATATTATATTTATACCGATTGTGGTATTTATGTTTCTAATACGTTTATGTATGACTATGAAAAGTATTTAAGCATGAAAATGAGATTGATCGAGAATTCATGTAAAATATAGTATTAAGACACAGATTTCTGTAGAAGCAGTTGTTTTACTACACTAGTGCGCGGCCTATGTCGGGCTGTGGACTGCTGCGATTTGATATATATTGTAATTGCGAACCTAATGCTAGAAGGTTATGGTTCCTTTTTTAAATTGTCTGTGTGTGAAAAAGGTAGTTGTGAAGCAAATGATGCTGCAATATTTGCACAGACTGTATAGTGAGACGAGATGATATTGATGATGGGACTTTTATTACTGTGTTGTCGTCGTACAACTATATTCTGAAATATTGAAGCCTTAATTTAAACTATTCAAAGTGTTCATTTAGCATTAAAAAACTAATACTTACAGTGTGTTATGTTCAGTATACGTTAGATTACTATGCGTCAAAAGCACTACGTTGCACTGTCAGTATTACTGTCCAATGTAACATTTCACATTGCATTCAGTTTTTTGTTTTATTGGCAACAAAATACTTTACTTAGCGTTACTTTTTTCGTTTGTTGTAACCAGCGTTGCCAGACGTCCCGATTTTGGCGGGACGTCCCGATTGTTAAATCAAAATTAAATGTCTCGCGCGGGGCAGGCTCAATCCCGCTTTTCGGGAATAACTCGACCGTGCGTGCAGCGTGCTGAGAAAGCGCGGGAGGGTGACACAGACAAGTATGGACTGGCCACCTGCCCGGCGCGTAATGAAGAACTCTCAAACAAAGACAACTATTTTACGAAAGGGTAAATCTGATTTAAAATATCATATTTTTATTAAAATACATTTTCTATGGATATTTTTACTAGGTACCTATCTATTGTCACGTAAACGTAATTTGAACTCAAATAAAAAAAAAATTTAAAAACTTTTGATATATACGTTTTTTTGTCCCGCTTTCGAAAAAAGAATCCCGCTTTTTTGACTCAAAACGTTCCTAAATCCCGACTTGGGAAAAAAAAACTGGCAACGCTGGTTGAAACTTACTAATGGTCGCACTCAGAAGCGTCAATTAAACTTAATGGTTGTCAAATTGAAGCATCATAAATATTAAATAAAAAAATAAGGCTCATCTGAGTGCGCCCGTTAAGATAACTGTGGATTTGATGTCAGATAGTGTATGAACAGATTGGCGCTATTTCATAGTTAACTTAATTATAATAGATTATTATGTTGTTTCATCTAAGATCAGGCTCCGGGTTAACAGTTTTCAATAATCAACTTGCAGTAAATTGTAATGATAATCTTGACCTGTTTCTTAGCAAGAGTTAAATAATAAAGCTAATTAATAAAAATATAAAGGCAACTAAGCTCTAATCTCTTAGTTTGATTATTGAAACTGGCCGTAAATGGTTACCTTATATCCACAAATGAATGGAGATAGATTTCTGTAATTAAACACTACCATAAAAAATATCGACAGTGGAAAGGCAAAATTGCTTATACTTTGGTGCTGCTTAAAAATTAACATTTTAATGTTAAGCTGCTTAAAAATTGACTTACAAATAATAGTGAAATTAAGTCAATTTTTAAGCAGCACCGGAATGATGTACAAGCAATTTTGCTTTTCCACTGTCGATATATTTATAAATATATTTATTATATTCGAAACTTGTAACTAGTATCGGTCTGCGCCGTTGACGGAAACCAAAATGTTTAGTCCCCTTTGTCCATAAATTGCTGTGTATATAATGGTGTCTATATGAAAAACAATTATACCGAATCTATATTATCGTCTGCTGAACGAAAGTTATATTTTAGTAGTAAAGAATGTATGAAATACAATGTACAGTCTGACCAGAGTGGTGTAGTATTCTTTACTATAAAGAGTTCCGTCTTTTTTATTGAGATAGAGATCCAGCTCATAAATCTCTGTACCTTTAATATTGCCCGGTAGGTGTATTTATAACGCATATTGCATTCAAACGTGCATTCAATACACGCAAAGAAAAAAATCTATATTTAAAAAAAATGCGTATTTTTAAGGTACGACAAAAATTAAGAATGGCTGCATTTGTTAGTGCATCAGACATTTTTTTTCTTAAAAACCGTTTGTTAATTTGTTAAGTCACATAAATCGATATAAACTTGAAAAGAGTTATGTTTTTTATAAAATTAGATAAAGCTCAACCCTACGCGCTAAGTAGTAAATACAAAACTTCTACAAAGATAAAATGACTAACTAAAGTGTTAATCAAAATCAACGATGTACAGACTGATTTTTGTACTGAGCCATCTATCGGCACACATACAGCGCACTACATTTTTCCTTAAAATAATGAGTTCAAGGTGAACTTGCACATACAATGAGTTATATAAAATGTTCGTTTCACATCACTCACCAAAGATTTCAAATTCGCTGTACTTAGGAAAGATATCCACCGTTTGCTACAATTTTGAGTAAGAAAAGTTTATAAAAGATTTCATAGCGTTATTATACGGAATCTATTGTTTGACGACTGTTATAACGTACTATAGCCAATTATCGCGAATACAGTTCACCAGCGCTTTTGCCAAGATTACAAGAATATGTATATAGTAAGATTTTTAGGATATTGCAGAACGACGAAAAATTTACACACAAAAGAAGAAAAACATATTGAGAATTCAGTACAAACTAATACTTTATAGTCTCATTTTAATCCATCAAACACTGCGTATAGTCAATATCGTCATTTTTACTTATCTTCGATATTTAGATATTTGATCTTTACTTCTTATTTCACTTTTAATGCTAAACAAAACGGCGCTATTAATTCACAATGAAAAATCTGATCGCAATGGAACAACGGTGCCCAGTTTGATCTAAGGACAATATCGAAACGGCTTTGCAAAAGAAAAAGAGAGATTGAGGCTAGTTCTCGCTTAAAAATCATGTCAGAAAAAAGCAAAATTTAGACCTTCCATTCAACATTGTCGCTCTGAAAAACAAAGTTTGTATACGATAGAGAGGGATGGGTTGAGGTACGCAGATATCATCTTGGTCATTTACGGTCACTCTAATATAGTAGATTTATTAGCAGTTTTTAAATAATGACAGATACGCCAATATTTATAATGTGCTATTTATGTATCAATTATATATTTTCTTGCGGAATTAAATTTAGAAAAATGTTTTCTCTTAGTTTTCGACAGATTCTCTGTTTCAAAATTTCCTTTCATTGTGTAAATATTACCTTACCTGTTTATGTAATTTAATATAAGTGGTTCGATTACTCTGTCCACATGTATATATATAGTAATGCAACATTGTGTCGAACAAATGAAATCGGTGATAAAATTCCCCGTTAGTGTAGGTTTATCACGTAGATGAGTCGCGAACTATTCCTTTTCTCATTGTGTGTGTGTATAAAAGACTGACATTCGGGAGTTGTTTGAGATGGCGCGTCTCATAGTTATAACCCTGTGTGTGTCTACTCTAGTTATTTGGGTTTTCGGAGTACGGTTGGTTTTCAGTGCCAAATAATATTCAGTAAGATTCTTCAGTTCTAACTATATTTGACTTTACATAAGTTTATTGACGCGTTGGATTAGGCTATGAATTAAATATACCAAAACGTCTCAGATAATTATTTAACAGTCGTGCATCTTTGCATTATTATCCCCTATCCCTTTTTTTCCTCGTAGAAAAGTCACTGTAAGACGCAATGAGTACGAAAGACAATGAGTGTAACTTCTCTCGTTCCACAAAATGATGATAGAAAGGGACAGAGCTACAAATTCCCGAATCACGTAGTTATGATTGAAACCATAAATTCGGGAAGTGATAGAATGCTATTGAATATTCGGTTAATCGAAATGCGTGTACAGAGTTAACGTTTAGAAGTCCTTTTAATAATATACGGCTGAAGAAGTCTACCACTTCAAGGTCAAAATCGTATGAGTTTGATCTGGACAATGTATGTGAAATCTATGCATCATTAAGATCGAGCACAAGCGATTACCTCCTTAATAGGTAGTTCTGAGGCCGTATCTCCGTCTGGTAACTGAATAGTGCAGTAGCTATATTTAGGTCCTGTCTTCCTTGATATATCGTACCCACCCACGCGCACATTCCCTACTTAACGCAACTTTTAGATCTCCCAACTTGTTTTTTGATAATTTATTTAAAAGAGCTGATGGCACTTCGTCTCGGACCAATGTTATTCTTCTTGTGACGTGACGCCTTGCATTTAAGACTGTCGTTAACGAATCTTTTATTTTGGGCCTATATCTATGATTACTATAAAATTAATTGATAATAATTTATTAGTAATGCGTCACAATGTACTAAAAGCTCTGGCATTCTCTTATTTATGATATTAGAGGCGTCAGCATCGCCTCGTGTATTCTATGAACAATATGATGTTCTCGACATTATTAGTTAGTTTAAGTTAGTGTACTGTGATACGGCTTTTAAAATTAATATAATATTATTATGCTCAAGTTTCTTTTGTCTTCTATTTCGACGATTTGTATTGATAAAATTAAATTAGGTAAAATCAAATACTATGTTATCTACGGTGGCGATCGGAGCACACCGTATATAAGTAAACCATTTATATATATTATTATAAAAAAAATATTTAAGTGTAACTCTGCATTATGCTAGTCTTTATTATTATGATGAATGTATTTCGTTGTAAGATTGATTAAATTAATTAATCAAAACAAATATATACGTAAGTTCTTCTAAAAACTATTTTAGCAAACACTGTATCATTAAGGAGTTTGTATAAGATGAGGCTAGCTAAGCGGGCGGGCGCGCGGCGCGAGCTCGTCCGCTAGTGGCGGCGCACTCTGGAAACAGTTGCGATGTTACGATGGCTGCTCAATTCATATCGAATTTATAGAGGTTTGGAGGGACACTGTGTCGACACAACTCTTCTACTACTCTACTATAAAACACCAAATTTTATTCATTGCTGTGGTGTCACTGATTTTGTGATACACATCATCATCAAGCATTAATAAAATGATATAATGATGAAATCAGAAATCAATATATCTTTATTCAAATTGGATGTATAGTACAACACTTTTGAATCGTCCAAACATTTTTTTTTCCCTACCACTCGTTATTGGATATATTTTTTAGCTGCGGAGAAAAACGAGCGAAAAAGACTCCACAACATTAAAAGCATAATGTAGCAACATTTACAAATCATTATGTTGTTACAACGTCAATACAATCATGATTTATTTAATATAGAAAACCTGTTGGAATGATTGGCCAAGTTCAAACCCAAGCATTTTTTTCTGTAATATAATCAGATACTTTGTAATAAGCTTTTTTAATAAGTGCTTTTTATACTATCTTTGAATTTATTTATGCTTAACTCTTGGATTTTGCTTGGGACTTTATTGTATAAGCGAACATAAAGACCTTTTAATGAATTATTGATTTTGTGAAGCCTAGTAGCATTTAAAGTTAGTTTGTTTTTGTTTCTTGTATTAAGTGTGTGAACATCACTGTTTTTAAGAAACAAATTAATATTTTTTCTTACAAATAATAAATTTTCGTAAATGTATTGTGATGCGACCGTCATTATACCAAATTCTTTATACCTATCTCTTAAGAAATCCTTAACTTTAAGATTATAAATTGATCGAATAGCTCACTTCTGCAGCACAAAAATAGTTTGAATGTCGGCGGCGTTTCCCCACAATAAAATTCCGTACGACATTACACTATGGAAATAACTAAAGTACACTAATCTGGCCGTATCTACATCCGTTAACTGGCGTATCTTCATTACGGAATATGCTGCAGAGCTAAGTCTATTTGACAATTTATCAATATGTGGGCCCCATTGAAGCTTCGAATCTAAAGTAATCCCTAAGAATACTGTGGTGTCTACAAGGCCCATATTCCTATCCTTTACATTCACACTGGTTTTTACCTGTTTTACATTAGGTAATACAAATTTCATACATTTCGTTTTTTCTTCATTTAGTAATAAATTATTAACATTAAACCAGTGGACTACTTTAGAGATACAACTGTTCACGTCGTCAATAACTGTTTCCTTACGTTTGAGTTTAAATAAAAGTGATGTATCATCCGCGAACAATACTATCTCATGCTTATCTCTAACATAGTAAGGCAAGTCATTAATATAAATTAAAAATAAGAAAGGACCAAGGATTGAGCCCTGCGGAACACCCATTTTAACCGGCGAACCCGCAGACTTATTGCCATTAATGTCAACCCTCTGAATCCTATCCATCAGGTATGACGCAATAAGATCAGTATCTCTAAATCCATAGTGGTGGAGTTTCCTGAGTAATGTTTAATGAAAAACGCAATCAAAAGCCTTGGACAAGTCGCAAAACACACCTAGAGCGTCCTGCGAGTTCTCCCAGGCGTCAAAAATTTGTTGTATAAGTTCAACACCGGCATCGGTTGTTGAACGACCCCGTGTAAAACCAAATTGTTTACAGTGAAGTATATTTATTAAAATGTGATTGCATTTGATCTAACATGATTTTTTCGAAAATTTTACTAAACGTGGGTAGCACAGAAATTGGTCTAAAGTTTGTGGGGTCTGATGTACTTCCCGTTTTATGCAAAGGAGTTATTTTACTGTATTTCATGAGGTCAGGAAAAATACCACAGTCAACACAATCATTAAATATGCAAGCTAGAATAGGAGCTATTGTCTCAATTACCGATTTAGAAACATCAACGGAATTGCCCCACAGATCCTCGGTTTTCTTTTTATTTAATTGGTGAAACGTTTTAATTACATCTTTAAAGTCAACATGTTTAAAATGAAAATGACTAGTACAAGGTTTCACGTTTTCTCTTAAGATTGATTCGGCAGCAATGGGGGAAGAGTTCAAAGATTTAGTAGTTGAAACTGAAATATCAGTAAAGAAATTTTCGAAAGCTGTAGCAACTTCATAATCTAAAGTAACCCTTTTATTATTAATATTTAAGTTATAATTATTATTGCGAGTTTTGGATTTTCCAGTTTCATCGTTTATAATTTTCCATGTCGTTTTATCCTGTCATTACTGTTCTTCATCTTTGAACTTAAGTAATTTGATTTTGCTAAGCGGCATACTTTTTTAAACAATTTAGAATAGTTACGAACATGCTCTTTAAATTTTTCACTAGTGTTACAGTTTCTTTCATTATAAAGTTCATAAAGTGTCCTTCTACTTTTATGAATTTCAGGCGTAGCCCACTTAGTAAAAGTTACCGCATCATTAACACATATTTTTTTGGGTACAAAAACATTATTAAATTCAGTGCAGTATATATTAAAATCATTATATAAATCATTTGGATTGTCTTTATATTTTAGATAAACCATTTTTATATCTAATTGAGTTTTAAAACGTTCCACACGATTAACAGATTTTGGTACAACAGTGATGTGTTTTTTTGTCACCTGCTTGAGCTGATATGGAAATGTAATCAACTGGTCACAATGATCACTATCTAGTTTATTAATAATTTGTTTTTTCTGTGGTATGATTTCCGTATATATATTATCAATACAAGTGGCCGAAGTGGTTGCTATTCTAGTAGGCTCAATGAATAAGTTTTTCAGATTGTATGATTGAAATATTTTTTTTATTTTAGTACTCGAACTACATTTTTCTAATAAATCAATGTTGAAGTCACCACAGACAATCAATCGTTTGCCTGTAGTGTAAGTTTTCTTAAGAGCTTCATCCATGATAGCTTCAAACAATCATACAATGCTGATGGAGGTATGTATACGTTCAATACAACAAGCCGGTCCAGTTCCACACAGGCAATTTCTATTGTTCGCTCAACAGAGAGGCTTACAATATCTCTTCGTTCCTTAAATTTTAATTTTTTATTCAATAATATTAAAGAGCTACCGCGAATTGCATTTTCTCGATTGAACAAACTACCAACCTGATGATTATTAAAATTAAATATATTCTGACAACTTTTAAGCCAGTGTTCTGTAATACAAAAAATATCTATATTATTACAATTCATGAATAATTCAATTTCTAAGTCCTTACCCATCAAACAAATGTGTATCACAAACTCAGTGACACCACAGCAATGAATAATTTCATAACAATAAGTACTAGAAACGCTGACATGACATGAGCGTGCTTAACTTTGATGGTTTTTGAATACCAGAATTATTGTCGCGTTTTGTCTCTTTAATTGACAGCATTGCTGTAGTGTCCTCTAGAGGCGCTTCTGTGCAACTTGTGAATATGACGGTACGATAATGGTTTTTTCAGCACTATCTTTATTTCTATACTAGTTCGAATAGTTGCGAATGTTAAATTCGCGTTACTCTTGGAAAAAGTAATTATTGAATGACAGTTGGTGTGTCGACACGGCCTGTCTCATGTGGGTGAATATAGTTAGAATTTGAAATGAACTAACTGCTTTCAGAGTGTAAAATTGTACTTGATCATTAACCAATTTGTATGTCTATATATCCTATATATAGCAGTATGTTACGTACGAACTTAGTAGAGCCGCATTACTTGTAAAAGGGACGAGCGATAACAATGTATTACGTCTCCAACAACTGTATTGAGTATTATTATGTTTACGTTAAATGTTCTGGTGATGAATAAATTTTCTTATTAATTACCATTGAAGACAAATATAGGACTGAATCGTGATAAATTATGTATTATATAGTATTTCAATGTTTACGAATTTATTTTGTTTGTAATAGTTTTGATTTGGTTAATTAAGTGTGGTGTGTTTGCGTTGGAGTCGCAGTGCACTTTGTCGTTCGTTCGTTAGTTCGTCATTAGCCCCGGCCTCTGAATCCCGGCCAGACCCTGCATGGTCCGAACCCGTTTCTTATCTAATAGTAATAATAATAGAATCCAAAGATACACTCAATGTTCAATTGTAATGGAAATAAAATGTTTCTTTATGACTCTTTGTATTTTCAGTTGTTGCAACGACTCAATGACAGTAGTCCTTTGTTCAAACGAACGTTATGGAAGCTTGTTTCTGTGGTCGACAACTTCTGTCAGATTTAATGACAACTATATCAGCATTTCAATGTTTAATAAGTAGACAAAATCCGTGGGATTCTGAACGAAGCATCAAACGAGAGAACTCAACGACTGAATTTCAAGAACCTCTTCTGAATTAGTTACAAAGAAAATTTTAAAAATAGTTCAGTCACTGTCGTCCTCTAGTTGTAAAAGAAGCAGTAAGTAGCAAAGCCTTGTTTTTCCATGGCTTTTCCAACGATGAAATTAATCCACAACTGCTTAAATAATGTAAAATTTTTATAGAAAATAAAGCCCTTCATGCCCTAAAATAGAAAAGTAAAAAATATATAATATGTTTGTTCTTTAACGTTATTATTACTACTTGTTAGCAATGATTTAAATACATTATTACCTTTTTCATTTGTCCAATAATTTTTCGTGATATCAACTTATCACGACAACGATCTGAGATTGTCTAGGTCGCAGTGTGACTTAATGACACATCACAAAATGATTACATATCATTTCGTCTAGATCTTTAATTAACGACATCGCATTATGCCTAAAATCGCAAAATGACGGATTTTTATTTGACCACATCAAATAATGACCAGGTCGCAAAAGGTCAGACAAGGGCTAAATAGGTTGATTGACTAATATACTAGTACAATTAAGTATAAAATCTATATGAATAAAAACGAATCGCCCAATGTATGTACGCGCATAATGTCCGAAGAACTGCAACAAATTGGATAATTCTTTTTTTGGGTTCCGTACCCAAAGGGTAAAAACCGTATGCGTCCGTGTGTCTATATGTCACCAGGCTGTAGCTCATGAACCGTCATAGCTAGACAGTGAAATTTTCACAGATGATGTAACAACAAATACTAAAAATAGAATAAAATAAATATTTAAGGGGACTCCAATACAACAAACGTGATTTTTCCTATTTTTGCTCTTTATTGTGATAACGGCAACACACAAATATTCACAGAAAAATTAATATAATATAAATTCTAACACCAGACGTGATATTTTTTTGCTCTATATTATATTTTGTATACATAATGGTACTGAACACGGAACCTTTCGTGCGCCTGTCCGACTCGCACTAGGCCGGTTTTTTGAGTTATTATTGTCAGGACAAGGTTCATTTACATACGCTATATTAAAAAATGGTCATGAAAAATCATAGCTTTTTTTAAATTTACCCCGCTGCCGAACCTGACATTTACTGCTGCTGAGATGCAGAGTGAGTGGCATTTGTTTTGTTAGTGATCTATATTTTGATTTAATTTACAAATTCTAGGGGAAGTGCAAATCGTAAGGTATGGCATGAGTAAAAACTTGTCTAGCCATAGATTCTGATAGTAAATATTGGCACGATAAGGAAAAACTTTGTCCTGCCCATCTCTGCTCTTAGAGGCATGGCACTGACGCATTAGTCTTCGGCGACAGTAAAGGACGACTTCGATAAAGTTCATGCTTAAACTAAAAATAGAAGCTCCACATCTGGTCGTATCTAGTATTGTAATATACCTATTGATTGTGTGTAAAATAAGAAGAACTTAATTTAGAGATAAGAAAATAGTTTTGAAATTACATATTTAGGTTTTATATGTAACTGATGGTTATTCATTTAAGTGTACTGAATCCGAAATTGTGTAGTTTCATTTGACTGTACAATTATGTAACAAAACACAAACTAGACAAATAAGCTATCTGATCATTGTGAGGTGTGGTCGAAAAAAGATGTAGTCACTTTACGATCTCTTTTAGTCAGTCAGAAGCCACACTTCTTCCGATTTAGGATGCTAATTAGGATCCTAACTTCCTAAGTACTATTTCACTTGACTGAATGAGTTACTGAATGATTTAGAACGTCTGAATTTAGTCAGGTGGAATAAGCGCTTTAATGAATAGACAATCTGAGATCAACCCTTAAGTGGGTATCATTTTCGTGATTTCCCGGGGTGCCGATTCCAAATGTAACAGCTATTTCGATCCAAGATGGAGGAGCTGAGTATCCCAATGACTAATTGATACTGCTCCATCACTTAAAAGTTACTTTGTCTTGGAAATACCACTAATCTTTTTTTTTTTTTTTTAATATAATAATAGCTTTATTTGGAACAAGTGCAATGTAAATAAAATTATGAATCGTTAAAACTGCTGTAGTTTTACAAAAACTGTATTGCAGAATTAACGCCCATTCCCGTATAATATGAAACAGTGTTCCTATCAATGTATAAAATTAATTAAAACTAAAAGCAACATTTTAAAATTAATTATAACTATGGAAGTTAATAAATCCTTCGACAGATCATTATACAGCTATGGATAAGAACCATCCGACCATGACAGCTTTCAAACAAAAAACCGCATCCACATCGGTCCATTCATTTATGAGCTACCATGCCACCTTATGTGAACCATAGTGGCCTAACTCATTTTTTACAATATTGAATTTATGATTTTTTCCAGTTCAAATTGATCATTTTGATAGAACCAGAGTGGTCTAAAAGTGATCCAACGAATATTCACTAGATGGCAGCATAATTACTGTTACGGTTTTTAGTTTGTGATCTAAATTTTAGGTCCCATACTGGCCTAAGTAAGATAGGCCACTATGGTAAAAAATGAGTAAGGCCACAAGGTTCTCATGGCCTCATATAACACCCCCCTTTTTAAGCCAGGGTTTAAAACTCGATTAAATCATTATTTGAAAGTGTTTTAATTTCAATAGTTCACAAATCATTGCTTTATCAGGGTTATTTATACATACATCAAGGAAACCAAAAGTTTATTGTCAGATACACATTCGCGTAGCAGGACGCGCCGCTTCTGCATCTTTAGGCAAAAATAATTGTCACTCTCGCACATCCTTACATTTAAATCGTGGGCAAATTATACTTTTTACAGAAAAACTCAATATTTCGATACCATTAAAAGAAAATCCATATACACCAATTGATAACTTTCCCGTGCAGATATTGAAAGCTGATCCATGTCAGCTAAGGGTGAATATTTAAGAAAACTTGTAGGAGAAACATACATTTATTTACAAAGCATGGAAAGACCTAGAATACATACATGAAGGTATGTATTCTAGGTCTTTCCATGTTTTGTAGTATTCTGGCATGATTCTCTGAACCTAAACTTAAGTTTGACGTGAATCTTGTCATTCTCTATACAGAATGAAAAGGAGAGGCTGATGGTTTTAGTTTTAAGTTTAGAGAAGCATGCCAAAATGGACACTATTGTAAATATCTGAATTACCTATATTAGGTATATAGGAACAAATTAACATTATGCTTTTTACCAGTGTTGCCGTTCGATATACTTAGTCCAATTTCGATAGTGGGGCATGGCCCAGAACGCAGGCTGAGTGCAGAATTTTGGGTGCCAAGACTGCAAATGCAGTTGGGACCAACGCGTTAACGAGTGTTCCGAAGCAAGAAGAAGCTCGAAATATAAATTATTTGGCTACCCATCTTACGATTAGTCATTGCGTAAATTGTTAACTGATATAAAATCATATTTGTTTCATAGGTTTTCGCGCACAGCACTCATTAAATAAAACAAGCTTAAATGGGTTCAACATGAGTCTTTTTATCATAATTGAACCCGTTAAAACGTGTTTAATTTAATGTTATTAAATTCAGTTTTTTTTTCTAATGGCAAGTGAAAAGACTTGGCAGTAGAGGATTCGATTCCGGTCTATTTTTCTAATTCCGGGATTCCGAGATAATCTACAGCTAAACCCGCGATCCCGGGATTATATTGGTAATATAAAGTGGTAACAAAAAGACAGTGAAACATACCAAAATCAACTTTTTATTTTAAATCTTTAGTTAAATCTTTAAAAAACAAAACAAAAATATACTTTCTTCAGAAAAATAAACAAACTATTTCATAAATTATTTACAGAATTGAATAGTTTGTTTATTTTATTTTACAACAAACTTAAAAAATCTTCTACTTTTTAAGACTTGTATAAATATACTATAAAAAACACTATAGGTGGTCGTTATTTTGGCCCGTTGAGGAAGATGCCTTAGCAGAATCTACTTTCACGAAACGTTTTGATGATAGTTGAGTATGTAGGCCTTTGGTTGATCCTCCTAAGATCTATAAAATAGCAAAGCAACGCTTACATTTTGTCATCTATATTTTCTCAGATACATTTAATGCATTGGTTGTTTGTTTTTTTATAAAATTCATTGATTTATCACCAATTAACAAAGAAAAACAATACTTACACGACGTAAAGCGGATTTTTTACACATAATCCGGTACCTGTCGTTAGTAAAAATAAATGAAGCTCAGCTGTGTAAACATGATGGCCGTCAAAACGTCAAATGAAAGTAAGTGCGTTTCTTTTCACGCACATTTTTATCGACTCACATAAAAATATATCAATCCCGAAAATACCGGGATTCATTTCATTTAATCCCGAAAATTTCGGGACTAAAATATGACCGGGATCCCACGATCCCGGAGCCCGGGATCGTATCCTCTACTTGGAAGTTGGGGGCAATCCATCAGCATAATGTGTTTCTATGTTATATTTTGTGTGTAGAATGTCTCTTTTATATTTTAGAAGATGGCAGCGCAGCTCCATTGAAGGAGAGAATCAGTGCGTAGGTGCGTAGAATCATCACCAGCCACACGCCAAGAAATATAATAGATTAATATAACGTTTATCTCAACTGTTACACAACAATTCTATCAATTCAAGGATAAACTACATTTAAAAAGCGAAAAGGTAAGGTGCACTCTGGTATACTCGTGTTGAAACAGTTAGAAAAGGGTTACGGCTCAAAAATTAAGCTAGCTCCTGTTCATAACATCACACCATATTTGTACACTATTCGAAGTCAATTAAATTAGAAAGAACAAGTTTTAATTAAATGAGTAGGTATGTTTATTTATATCTGCCAACGATACCGACATTCCGTCAATAAGGACAACACACGAACACATTATCACTAAAACATAATTTACAAAAACTTTCGCATCGCATTCAATAATTATTATTTTCAGATGTATAAAACATCGCCAGACAGAAAAATAACATTTTAAAAACAAAACTCAGCAGTACCTTCCTTCAATTTAGTTCTACTAATATTACTTAGGTAATTAATTGAAAAGGACGAAATTTTCAGTTTAATTACTTTCATTGCATTATAATTGTATTCAACGCAATCAGGGACTTGATTGAACAAAAATATTTATTTACTTACGAGCAAGTATTTGTTACAAACTCTGATGAACAGTAATAACAGACTTCTTCCTTCTTATTAATTGTGAGCTATGACAAGCTTTCCGGTCCCAGGAGGTGATGAAATGAAACGAACTTTCGGTTACATAGCGATTTATTCATCATATCTCAACATGAGCAAATAAAAATACACTTCAACCAAACCAATGGCAACCAGCAAATCAAACGGACTTGAATTGGGAACCTCCAGTGTCCTAAACCAGATATGGTTTGTAAATGCTTAGATATAGGTAGCGCCAAACTTCTTGAGCAAAAACAGACAAATAAACTTGCGCAGTAGACGTTTTTGTATGTAAAATTGCTACTGCGCAGCTACCTTGTCTATGGCCGTGTATACTTACATTTTATTTTTATACGAGCTCAAACAAATTAAGATCTCTGAACAATTCTATGGTACAGTCGCATTCTTAAATTTAGGATCCACCTTAGCAAATAGAAAAAAAAGCAGATCTTTTGATCGAATATGTTGCTATAACAACGTATTAAGCACTGTATAAATTATGTCAGTACAGACAACGTGCCAACCTTACGGACCGAGAAATGTACGGAAATTCTCGACTTACTATTTAACTTTTTAACTAACTCACTGTTCTTTCTGATAATGTTGATTGGTGTAATTTAGAAAAATAAATTATATTACAAAAGGAGTAAAGTTATAAGTAATTTGTGAAAATATTGATAAGGAGATCATAAAAACTATAGTATTTAATTAGATTAAAAAAAAACATTATCGTCTGGAGAAGACCTTATTGCAATGCGAATGTTCAAACCACATTTCAATTAAATGGGTCCCAAATTATTTTAACTGGCTGTACATTGGCGTTATAGTTACATAAACAAAAAATACATTTGATGTAATAATTAATCTATGGAATATAATATATGGCAGGTATATTTAGGCAACAGAATAAAGACAGCACAAAACTAACATCTTCACTAATCAATAGCTAATTTATAAAAGTGATTCATTTATAAACATAGTACTTTCGATTTTCAGTGTTGAATATATTTCTAAGAATATGACCCCGAGTCTACATAAAGTAGTTTTTTTGCCATATGAAAGTAGAAGTTCAAATAATATTGGTTATAAGCACCTGTGGAGCCTGCCTCTAAACAAAATTAAGCGCGCTAAATGTCTAGTAATTGTACCTTGAGACTAAAACCGGTAAAAGATTACAGCTCACCAAATTGTAATAATACACCTACAACTCATCCAAATATTTGTCAATAAGTGCCGTAACAGATTGCTATTTTGCTGTCAATTCAATGAAACTGCTGATTATATTACTAAGGCATATATGCCATTTGATATTCATTCATCTAATAAAAAGATACGCGGCAAACGCGACCTAGCGATATAACCTATATCAAAATGCTGTAATTATTGCAGTGCTTTAGTTTCTGAGATGTTAGATACATATTATTGCTTTCATATAAGGCTACCGATTTTGAACCCAAGATTTAAATACGTTTAAAACGCAGCAATCAATATTATAAAAATAACAGAACATAATAAACTTAATAAACAATATCATTAGCAATAACTTAATACTATCTTGTGAGATAGGCAACATAAACAAGTCAAATGGTTAATAATATAATCAATTAGGCACTTAACTAATATATTATAAAAACAATGTGATCGCTATGATCTTTAGCAGCGCAGCTGCGTTTTTAAATGGCTACTCAGAGGTAGAGGAAACGAATTAGAAATAAGTAATATGGAATACGAACTGCGCTAAAAAGTGGTTCCACGCAAAATGCGATCAAGTGGGCGGGGCGAAAAAACTGCGATAAACACGCCGATCATATGATTGGTTGAGATATTCTTACCCAATGAATGGATAGCCGAATTCATTTGCAGATAGTTAGTGGGTGTCGCGTTAGTATTAAAGTTTAGTTGTAGGAGTTTGCAACCATGTTTTTATTATTTTTATTTAGCGTCCTTTGTAATGCTTCCATTATCATTTCTAATTCGTTGAGGAGGGGCGAAGTAGTTGCTGGTCACACTTTAAGGCGTAAATCACTTGAGATCAATTACCAAATTGTGAGGAAACTATACTTCTATTATATCAGGTTAGATTGCAAACAATTATCACCTAAAAGCAACAAGCCAGCAGTCTTCGAATACTCATCGTTTAAAAAAAAATAAAAAAATGGAATGCAATCAATGGAAAACGTATGTAATATTTTGACAACATTACTTGGCCTTGATCTGAACCGGTACCGCGTGCCCCGTATAAAACCCAGTCGGCAGTAATATAAACGAGTGTTTTCTCTTTTCTTTCATTATTGACGTAAACCTTCTCATTGTATAGTTTAAACTCCTATCAATATACTCTTCAGATTGGCACTTGAAAGATTACAAAATAGTAAAACTTCAAGTGTTCAAAATTCAGAACTTTTACAAAGTTCTTTTAAGTTAGTATCTTAAATGTATAGTAATAGAAGATAAAATTTAACAATTACTTCCACGGTTACAAGTTCCTCATCGTAAGTACACGTACTTATTCATTTCTAGTGTTTAGTTAGAGTTTTGATAGCATCTCTGCCCCCATAATACGAAATTACAAAATATTGTGCCCGAACTGCGTGGATTGCACAAGTTTCACTAACAATTTTCTCCGACTGATTTAGAACTTTATTATAATAAATTTAAAATTCATAATCGGTTGAGAGAATCAAAAATTTTGTTGACACTTGAATTGTGGCTGACTGTACTTCACTTTGCGGATACGTTCAAAACACGTACTAGATGATACCATAGACCCAGTGAGAATAGACTGAGTATACCTTAGCTAGCTGCCCGATAAATCTGGGTGTTACCGGAGAACGCGACACGGCATACGGTAGATCGGTTCTGTAAAATAAAATCTCACTTCCGAGTTCGATAGCTTAAATTTTAGACAGGTTTTAAATTTAAATATGTATAAAGTTGTTACATGGCAAAAGGTCACAATGGCTTGAAGCCGCACTTGAAGCAGTCAGTATTACATATTTGTAAATTATCTAAAACTTGATTTATGAAATCAAAAGTGAAATTGCATTGTGGATTGCATTTCCACAGAAGCAGAGCTACGCGGAGCTGAGCAGTCATAAAGAAATTTACCGATAGAATTGCTCAAAATACGCACACACAATATTTTAAGCAAGACCATTGGACGAGGTCTGCGCAGTTCCACTTCTATTGAAACGCAGGCTTACAGAATCGAGAGGCAAATGTGCTAGTCTACCACAGTTTGTTATGGTAGAACTTCATGTCGAAGAATCCGCGGCTGGTCAGCTGAGAGTCGGGGCGCGAGGTCACCGACCCCGCAGAGGAGGGCGCGGGGGAGGGAGCCCCTACTATCCCCATCGCAGCGGGGGGAGGAGGCCCCACCTCCAGGGTCGACGGCCTTTCAGTAGGCCGCGCCATTTCCAATATCGGCGCCTGTTTGGATACCATTTCCGGTGAAGGTTTCACCTAGACGTCGCAAAGTAAGGATGTCAATATATACATTTCCCCATTGCTGTTTAGAAACAAGTAGACTCACAATCGCGCTCAAAAAGATTCGGTAGCCAAATAACATGCGTCTATTGTGCGTTATTTTCAAACAGTCTTATTTCGACCTTTCTTTGTTTACAATGCCATGCAAAGACAAAAAGTTCGTTTGAAATCAGTCCGAACACACCAGAACCACACTTACAAAACACGAGTGTCGTATTTCAGGTAAGTATGCCTTTAAATTTACAAAAATTATGCAATCATGCATCTCGCATTTTGGCGTTTTCTTTTGTGCGTGGCGTCAACTTAATTTTTGGCTTTGGTATCGATTATTTAAAGATTACACCCCAAATATTCTTTTAAAAAAATATTCAATGTACAATTTTGACTTTCCAACCATTTTATTATATATATAAATTTAAGATAAAAAGGCTATAATAATATATATCGTATAGTAAGTTTACCTCTAGTTTCGCCGGAGCGGGCGGTTCCGGCGTTGCGTATCTCTCCGGAGCGGCGTTGTCCGGAGTCCGTTTGTTCCGGCCCGCCTCAGCATCGGCCACGTCCGGAGACGCATTCCTACGTGGATGTGTGAGACTATTACACCAACAATCAATATTAATTATAAAGTGACTATCAATCGTTCAGTCGAAGAAATACCTTTTACAAAAGGCACCACTGTGCTTAAAACATCCCTTTCTCAAAAAATCTACTTGCCAAACGTCCCTTTTGCTAAATGCAACTTTCGCAAAACGCACCCTTTTTAAACGACTGCGCAATGCTAGCTGCGAAGCGCAACGCGCAGACAGGGTATTGTGTTTAAGTCTATATATATACTGGCTACTTTAAAAAAGGAAGGAAGGATATATTAGACACATAAATAAATAAATAAATATTTCCAACACTCACACCAATTAGTCTAGCCCCAAAGTAAGCACTGTAAGGCTTGTGTTATGGGATACTAGGGTAACGGATAGAATACATATATTGTACATATATAAGTATATTTATATAGAAATACATATTAAACATCCATCACTGGAGTACAAATGCTCGCATTCATCACACAAACATCTGCCCCCACCGGGTACTCAAACCCGGTGTTCTAGTCGGCGACACCATGAAACCCAGCGTATAAACCACTCGGCCAAGATGGTCGTCAAACACATGACCATTGTGAAGGAGTATTTTGCGAAAGTACATTTACATACATTTTGAGAACGATGAGTTTTCGACACGGGGCACATTTTGCGAAAGATACATTCAATAATTTATGTATTAAGGTACATTTTACCTACCAGACGGGCAAGGCAACAGATTGCCCAAAAAACTGAAGATAGGAAATTGTAGAATAGTCTTGTCGATGATGTGGTGCTAGTTTTTCACGAAAATGGCCTAACTCTAAATCCTACTCGCACCAAAGTTATTAAATCATATTTATTTGATTGACCTTAAAGAAATTACCAAGATGCAATGATGTGAATTAACATGATTAAGCCTTAATTTAAAAAGGTTGGCGCAAGCTGCCCTAAGTTTTATAAAGAATAAGACCTAGTTTCAAGAATCTTTACTCAAAAGTATCAAAGAACCAAATTTTCCGACTGGTCGCTATATAATATATTTTTTTCTGTTTTAATTAAACGTGGTGATATCGATATATTACGCAATAGTTTCGCTTGCGCAATATTCTTATCCAAAGCTAAAACAAAGCTTAAACTTGTACTGATATTTATTGGTTAGGACATTAATCTCGAAACAGACGTTTAGAGAAGTCTCAATGGGAGATAATGGACGTAAAGGTGACCCCCATACTTGCACAAGCGCACAAACATTGATGCTGCCTCGCAATGCAATATGACGTTTGTATTATACGTTCGCGCGCGCTTTTCCATATTATGTGACTCCAAATTTCATTCGCAGATTATTTTACGTTACGTAAAAGACACGAAACATTAAAGTACGCCGATAAAGTTTTTTTTTTTTATTATTTATTTATGACCGACCTTCACTCGTATACATAAATACGAATCTTAATCTTCTTTTTTTACATTAGAATGTCGGTGTGACGCATTCTATTGTTTCTTGGAGTATTTGGCACGAAATGTATCGAGTTGGTTTTTCCGATAAGCTTCTGTGTAGTCGTAGTCAACACTACAATAAAGTTCTCACGTCCAGTTGACCGGAATAGCGTATATTTTAAAGATTCCACTATTCTTCAGTTGCGCAGATGGTTGTTAGACAAAATCACACCAATTTTATTTCACAATATCCACTAGGAACGAATTTAAGAATAATTAAAATAAGACGCCAACCGCACTTGATGAAATCCCGCCAAAAACTCCGTCGATAAAGATCTGTTTATCGTGTCGCCAGTCGCAAGTGTGGTCCCACCTTAAGCGTAAACTAAAACCAACAGCAGCTGTTCTAACACTGATTTTATTTTATTACAATTACGATGCATTAGTGCGATTAAGACGTACGGGAGTTAAAATGCGTGCAAGTAAGTGTACCACAATAATAATATTACCTAAACCGTGTAAATTAGCAAGTTACTGAGAAGAGATAAATCTATGATCGTGTGTGATAGCCCGTACACTTAACTTACCTGCGTGCGAGACTAAAATTAAAAAAGAAAAAAGTACGATTAAATTTACATCCTCGACTCGTTGCCACACTAGCATGTGTCTGCCGATAGCCGGGCTTTTTAGTTTGTGTTGCCATCCGTTAAAAAAATACAATTTTGAAACACACAAAATGTCTGTTTAAAATCTCAAAAATTTCAAAAAATTACAAGACCGGAATGGACTAATAAGAAAAATGATTCAATACATTGTCATTGTTTGGCATGCAAAGCAACCACGAGACGGGTATGCAAAAAAAAATATAATCAATAACATAAATTAAAAAATAAACAAACTAAAACAAACAAATGGAAATTATCACAGTGCATTATAATTATATTAATAATTTAACAATCTCCATAAATCCACGTCTAAATGCAATTTAATTTCGACACTGTGTAAATGCTAGAATTGAGTACAGACGCCAAGCAAACACAATCAAGGCCAGCCACATTGAACTACTACAGTTACATACTTATTGTTTATACATGCAATATTTCGGAATAATAGCTAATACATAGTAATAAAAAAAATAATAGCACTTTATATCTTCAAAAAATAAACAAAGTAGTAGTCTGCAAAACTATCCGCCATATTAAAAATCGCGGACTAAATTAGTCTTATTTATTTATTTAATCTTTAATGCCTTTACATTGCAGTCTTGTTTTAAACCTAATGCTGTCTTTGTCTTCTTTTTAGCAAACAAAACAGCATCAGTTTTAAACCAGGTTTAACTTTACTCTCTTTTGTATTAAGGCGGTATGTGTACACCCGCATGACGAATGACGCTTTCTTAACATATTTATTTAATGTCTTTCGAACAATTCAATGTCTTTCAATTAATTTATAATCATACATTCATGTAGGTTAAACTGTACACAAACCGAATAAATTCAAGTACTTTGAGAATTAACGAATTTCTAGCGCTACACAAAATTATTGACTTTATTATGTTCAAAAATCCATAAAAAGCCGTACTATATTGGGTATACAAAATAAATATAAATAAGGTGTTTAAAAAGCTACCGAAATTAATTAGCAACTATAACTGATTCCAAATCACCACACAAGAGTCGTTGTTGCCTACAGATTCTAGAAGAGAACTAAATCCTGGACGATAGAATTATTTACCAGATTCTAAAAAAATCATAAGTCTGTAGTATTTTTTGAAGACTTCTACTACATAAACACTCTTTGCATTTGGTCGTAGTTTCTTTTTATTGAGTAACATATTTAAACTAGTTTACACTTTATTTGTTGCTAAATAAGACCCAAGTCGTGTTAAAGGTGTAGTGTAACAATTTAGTCATCACAAACTGACATTTTAATCAATTAATAAATCAACCAATAGGACGGAATATTGCGTATAATTAACATTTAAATGTAAACTTAAAATAACTGAGATGAAGATACTGTTTACTAAAAATTTTGACTTGCCAGCAACATAATAAATAAAATATGCATATATAATAATTCACTCATGCAGTTTATACATATGTATGTCAAATTAACAAACACACATCCTTATTAATAATTAAAATTACAAATTCTTAAGTTTCAAAGACACAAAGTGTTTTATTTTACACATAGTATGAAAGTTTACTATGTGCTATATAAAGATTCGTTTAAAAACAACCTTACAATATTGTGTCAAAACATTAGCTGCTGAATGAATTTAAACATTCTGGTGTACATTAAAAGCATAGTGTCAAAATTTTAAAAAAAAATGCAGAAATTTAAACTCTAAAAACTATTAGCAATTTATAATACATACAAGATGTGATGGAAAGGGTATATAAAAAAGCATACATAGCAAACCGATATGAAACATTCATATGTTTTAAATGTTCTAATAATAATACTGTAATATACTTTAAAAATAAGTTAATCACAAGTTTTAAATTAAATGCATTCTGCAAATTGCAATAATGCAAAATGAATGTAAATTCAGTCGTGTTTATTCCTTTTCCACACATACTGTACACATATGTAAAAGTCATGACAATGTTCATACTTTTTGAAATAAAACATGAATATTCGAAAATAATTTACATAAATTGATAACGGTTAAATTGGTTATTAAAATTAAAAAACCGCGTTTCACGAACTTTACATACTTTAATTTTGGAAGCAACTATATTTTATCTATGTTAAGCGAATAATATGCAATGTATACTTTCTTATAATACTTTCCAAATAGTAACCTTCAGTAATTTTAGGTTATTAAATATTTTGTAGCCTTTCCCTTTCTAAAGTAGATGGTGTCTCTTTCCCGTCAAACCAGCCGATAAATGCAGTCTCTGTCACTCTAAGGAACAAATTTTCTATGCTCTAAAAAATGACAGAGCTACTTTGGACTACCGGTTGCCCAAATACTAAAAAGCAACATTTTAATATCTAATTTTCTATTGTAAATTTGCAGTCACGATAACAAGAATTTTCTAGATCTAGAATAGGTTTTCTAACTACTGATCCTTTTTTATTTTTATTATTACATTTTATCATAATTCTTTAGAAGATTCCTAGAGATTCCTGTGCCAAACAATGATATTTGTGATTATAGGTGCGATGTATATAATTCGGTGTTGCTAACGTTAAAAGTTTCTATAAATATTAGAGAAGCTGCACAAAATATGAAATTAATATTGAATACAAATTCGCCCATTGCACATGTGAAGCGAATAAAGAAAGAAAAGTTCGAGACACCCAATTCACAGATTTATATAATGTTATAACATTCGACTTGTTCAATCAACGAAATTGTTGGTCTGCCACTTTTGGGTTGTAATAGCTTAAACTTGGTATATTTAAAGACAAGTTTATGCTATTACAACGACGACTTACTCTTTAACTATATTGAGTACAACGTAATATTTCCTATTAAAGTGACGTCGACTAAACAGTTATAGTCTCATAATAGTTATTTATGCAACTGTTGTATAATAAGGGGTATTAAAA